TAAGGAGTCTACATTTTATAAATAGAGCTGTGTTACGAAATTTAGGATGGATAGAGAAGAGACTACAGGTAATAATGTACATCAGTGTATTTGTAGTTTGCTTGTGGATATGTATTATAATAAACAGTTTTTCTGTCTTTCTCCTTTTCATACAAAGCAGAGGAAGCATAGAAATGTATGCAGCCATATATATTTTCTTGCTTTATTACTCATTTTACCTTTTCTTTCTAGATTTATCAGTGCCATCATTCAAATGCCTTCAGTGAAGGTGTGTTACCAGTTTGCCCCATTGCCTCTGCTTAAATTGAATCTCAGCTCAACAGCTGATTTGTGGTATTCATTCAGCTGTCACATTCCATTTTACTCTTGAATCCGAAGATAATGAAGACTGTTTTGCCAGTCTAGACCACGGATGGTATCCTGTTAATTCCAGTTATTTCCTTATTCTTTATTAGGAAGAGTGCCTTCCGTAAGAGGTGGTTCTGGCTGTTCTGGATCACAGCTGGAGTTTGCTGGCTCTCTCTTTTCTGTTGGATCAATGCAGTTGCGCTAAATTCTGTTTCTCTCTTTGTACTTTCTGACACTATGTAAAGTCAGTTGTTGATTCTTCTGTTCATGCTTTTTCTTTGTTGCTTTGGTATGCTTGAAGGCAATTTCTGATATGATTAAGATTTTATTAATTCATATTCTCTGCATTCTCTCAGCATGTGAGTGTGTTTGCTTCAGTGCCAGTGTTTCTTTGGGAGCTTTGAGTTCAGTGCTTTGCTTCCTACTTCTGCAATTGCATTATTAATTTCTTAATTTTTAAGYTTGATGCTTGTATCATATCTTTCTAGTCTCAGAACATTTTCATGATATGTACTGTTAAGTAATAAGTTTCTGGGTTGAAAACTGAAGAGCTATTTTTAATCATTAAAGGTATAAATGGTTTGAGACCTAGTTCCTTGAGGGAGCAAGTTGAGTGCTGTGGAATCATTAAACCTGTTTTGCTATAAATGGGAGGAAGCAGTGGATAGACTGCTCTCTGTAAACGCTTCCCAAATTGAAATTAATTTCCTTTCTTGTTCTAGCATATCCCAGTTTGGGTAATCTCTTGAGTGTTATGAAAGCTCTATCTCCCTCTTTTACTGTGGGCAGGTGAAAGTTCTGGGTGGTAGTCTAAGTGTGATTTGATTCCCTAGAACTTGAATTTTTAACATTGTCTGTTAACTGGGAAATGGAGCTTGGATTCTTGGTAATATATTTCAAAATTCAGTGAGTTCATCTTTGTAGTAGCTTTTTCACTACTACATGGTAAAACATTTTCTATGTTAGTGCATCTTACACAGCACGTATCGTAACATAGGCTGGTATTTGGACCTGAGTATCTTAAAATTTAACTTGGTTTGGACTTGCTGAGTTTGTGTGTAGAGTTAATATRCGGACAAGTGAGGCTCAGCTGAAAATAATAGCCTAAACAAAGAATAACCTAATTAAATAAACCCCTTAATTGCTAGTCTGGTTCCCTAGGCAGCTGCAAGGAGCTGATCGCTCATGTGATCACACTGACAGCGTACTCTTCCAGTTTCTGAGCTATTTGCCAGTATATGTTCATTTGACAGCATTAGAGATCTCAAGGATACTCAACTTTTGTACGTTTTGTGAATTTTGGTAGCAGCGGGAGACCTGAGGTAGCAGAATTTGTCTCCAATGCCAGTATTTTGTTTTAACTGCCAGCTGACAGGACAAATGAGGGATCCTAGSTGATCTTGAGACTTGGGACCAGAGGCAAGGCACTGCAGGAAATGCAGAGAAGGTGATCATAGGAGATTTGGAGGACTTCTCCTTTTTGCATGGAAAGGGGTGGAGATGGAGTACAGGGGCCTGTGCATTACAAATTTCACTGCTGGCAAAATAGCTTTAATGTTACCCCTTGTAAAGCTTTGTTACATGCTGCTTCATCTTTCCTAGTTTCATTTTCACTGTCTGGTTTAGCCGGTTTCAAACTGGTTCTGTGGCTTACCTTGAAACTCTGCTTCAGTCCTTCACAGGGGAGCTTGTGTAGTTTTGGAAAGTAGTTACTAAAATTGACTTAAGCRGGGTTGTATTTTAAGTCCACAAGTAAAACTTGTGGCTGAATAAAGCAAAAAGTACATACACAAATGCTCACTGTTCAGAAGTGAATATGCAGGCTATTAAAATTTTGTTAAAGGTTAATATTTTGTAGTTCCCTAGTGTTGTGGAAAACAGCCAGATGCCCATGTATTTTACAGTGCTGTGTAGGTTCAGGTGTTTTGTGTTCAGGAATGGTGGTAGTTACCTCTGCTACCACTTTGACCAAGTCTTAGTTTTAGATCCCAAATTCTGCTTCACCTAATTTTAAGTTCCAATTATGAGCTTTTAGTATAGCTATTATTTTGAGTTACATTGATGCATGTCCTGAGGAAGTGAAATAATGAGGCAGATAAAAGTCAGCTTTTTTTTTTTTTTTTAATTAGAGTTAAGTGAGTCTTAAGATTGAACCTTCATATAGACCTCTCACTTTCCTGGGATTTACCTTGACAGTTTAAAAATTATCAAAGCTAAACCTGCTTTTAAATGGCATGTGAACAAGGGCTGGTTAACATTTAATACTAGTTTTCAATGCTTAGTATTTTTTAGTATGATTAAAAGTATTTATAAGTATTATCACTTATGACCTTCACAGTAAATAAATACTATATCATAATGAATACTGTATTAATTTATTAGTGGTATTATGAATATTTAGTTATAATTAATACTTGTTAAAAGTGTATATCGAGGACAAAATGTTAAGGTGTGGTGCAGACAGCCTATTTCACTTGCAGCCTTCTGTTCCTGCAGGCAAGTGTRCAGCTTGTGTTTTGTCTTGGGTTATCTTTTGTACTTGTCTGATCCCTCAGTGAAATGATTAAGATCACTGACAAGGTAGAAAGTTCATCTAACAGAAGGAAAGTGAGCTTTTGAAGCTTTAGTGACCTGGTCTGGTTAATGGGTGGGTCAGAGAAACATCAGAAGAAGATCGGAGGAGGTTGGAGTGGTGCTGTGTATTCAGSCAGGGGAGTGCATGGGCTCTCCCTGTGTCGGTGGTGCTGAGCTGTCTTTTCAAATGCTCCCATACATTTGGATTTCACTTTCTGAACACTATGCTGTGATACTGTGTCTTCCTCTCATAAAAAATAAGCCTTTTTTAATTTTCTTGAGTACATGACACGTGACATTGAAGTATCTGGAGTAATGATCAGATCGTTGTTGTTAATGAGCCTGATGAAGAAATGGGACTTCTGTGGTCATCTCCTTGTGCACAATTATTTTTTTTTTCATAGTTCAAGTGATTCCTGACAATTTCTGGATCTTGATATTTGAAAACTGGTTCTCTGTTGCAATAGAGGGTATTTAGTTTTTTTAATCAAGGATTCATAGAATGGTTTGGGTTGGAAGGGACCTTGAAGATCATCTAGTTTCAAAACCCTTGTCATGGAAAAGGGACATCTTCCACTATCCCAGATGGGACACCTTCTGCTGTTCCAGATTGCTCAAAACCACATCCAACCTGGCCTTGAACACTTCCAGGGATGGGGCAGCCATMGCTTTGGGCAGCCTGTGTCAGTGTCTCACCACCCTCACAGGAAAGAATTTCTTCCTGATGTCTAACCTAAACTTGCCATCTGTCAGTTTGTAACCATTCTCCTTTGTCCCTTTCCAACTCTCTTGTAACCCCTTTAGTACTGGCAGGTGCTGTAAGATCTCCCTGGAGCCTTGTCCAAGCTGAGCAACCCCAMCTCTCAGCCCGTCTACACAGCAGAGCTGCTCCAGCCCTTGGRTTATCTTCATGGCCTTCTCTGGATTTGCTCCAACAGGTCCATGTCCTTATGTTGTGAGCTCCAGAGCCAGACACAGGATTCCAGGCGGGATCTCAGGAGTAGGGAGATCTGCAGGGAGAATTCCCTCCCTGGACCTGCTGCCTGCACTGCTGCTGATACAGCCCAGGACATGTTTGGCTTTCTGGGCTGCAGAAGCACATTGTGGGGACATGTTGAGCTTCATGTCAAGCAACACCCCTAAGTCCTTCCTCCTTGGGCTTGTTCCCCATCCATTTTCCAYCCAGCCTGTACTCGTGCTTGGGATTGCCTGGGCTCAGGTGCAGGATCTTGCTCTTGGACTTGTTGAACTTCATGAAGTTTGCCCAGGATCCCACTGGATGGCATCAAGACTGTTTTGATGAGCTAAAAATTGTAGTTTATAGAATCTTGGTTTTATGTTGTGTTATGTTAGTTCACCTTAACAGAAGCAAATTCTCCCAAGTTTGCTGCCTATCCATTTCTTGTGTACAACTCTGAAGTAACTCCTGGCTGCTATCTTTGAGTTTCTGGCTGTTACCTTTGGTAATTGCAACAGAAAAAAGACCCCTCTTGGTATTCTTTGAGTGCTTCTTAAACAGTGTTAGGACTAATGTGGTTAGTGCTGCTAATGAGAAGTTGAACAAAATGTGCCATAAAAATATAAAACCCACTTTCGGTTCTCCTGGCTGTGTSCTGGACAGTTTGATGGATAGAACAAGGTACTGGAAAATTCTTAGAAGAAGRAAGAGTGTTTGTTTAGGCATTTTAAAGATAATGTCAGTAGAATATACTAGTGCTGTGCTTGTTMCTATCTTAATTTTTCTCAGTCCTTTTCTCTTTTTGTGGCATTACTAGCTCTTGTGCAAGTCAGGTGAAAATATCAGTGTCATGTATGATATAAAAAATACAGTGGGTTATAGAAAGAGAATACTTGGTCAGAAATACAGGAAAACTATTGTAGAAGTTTARTATTTGAAATTAAATATTTTCATATTTTCTGGTAATGTTTCCAAAATAAACACTTAATATTTAACATAGGTTGGTCAGTAAGAGTTTGACAGAGACTTTCCTTTTACTAAGCTGAGGTTTCCYCTTTTTCTGTAAGGATATCTGCAGATGAGCCAATTAAATATAATCTGMTGCTTTTTTTCTTTCCAGAAAGATGAAGGTAGTGATGCTAGTTTGAGTGACAGCCACATATCTCCTCCTGCCAAACGTACCTCAAAACATGCTGATCCTGTGTGCAAAGACAAATCAAAATCACGCAGTACTGGGCAGCGAGAGGAATGGAGCATCTCAACTGGACAGTCCAGGTAATTGGTGCCAAGAGAASATGCAACTCATACCAATTTTTCCTGTTTTGTTATCTCACTTACACTACTTCTGCAGTCACCTGCAGCTCAGGAGTGTACTTTTGAAGCAYGTTGCTTTCCCTCAATTGTCTTCAGTTTAAGACTCCAGGAATGTGAATTGCGTCAATGCTCTCATCTCTGTTTTCTTTCTATGCATATTTGTGCAAAAAGTAGAAAATAATTTTGAGATGCTGTCTGAATTTTAGATACTTGATCCATCCAAATTTAGTAATGTAATTGGTATTTTTATGTACTCCAGCTGTAAGAATACATGACATTTTAATTAGGGAATCAGTGTTAACCATCTTCAGGGAATGGGTAATGGTCAAGTTGATTTCCACTGTTTTTCAGCCTGTTAAATAAATTTTACAGAATATGGCCTCAGTCCTGCTGCATTTTTATAACTTGAAGCAAAAGTAATTAATTTTGTTTTATAACTCTGATTTAATAGTATTTTACAAAGCATTCCTGTGTTCATAAGGTTCCTCACATGATTACAAGTAACTGTGAGACAGTGTACACTGTATGCTTCTGATCCATGGACTTTCAGTTAATACTGATTCTTTTGTAGTTACGCATTTCATATTTATGTACATGTCAAAATTGTTCTTGCAATGCTTTGTATATAATAGTGAGTCTAAATCACTACTGGACTGTTGTCTGCTAGGGTGAAGTTTGCTTATAAGCTTTGTAAATCTCAAAATAGGCCTATTTTTGTTTATTTTTCTCTTTTAAAACAGAATGAATTAAATYTAGCATATTAATGTGCCATTATGTATTGAATGTATTGAAACTTGTGTAGCTTCTGTTTCTTTTGTTTATAACAGTAGAATTGTACTGTACCTCCTAGAAATGTTAATATTAAAAAAAAAATTATGTGGCCAGGAGCTTTTAGATCATTGTGTCTAATGAAATTTGGCCAGGGTACTGAAAATCATGTTGCTCATTTAGAACCACCCACTGGAACATGTCTTTGCATCTGAGTTTTCTTGTTGTTTCTGCCAAAATCTGAAGTGTTGTGCTTTAGAGTGATCTTGATTGACCAAGACTTTTCCCAAAGATTTTGTTGCTTGTACTGGTTTATCCGAGGTGCTGGAATGATAGTTGCCTTTGGAGAACTATACCAAGGTGCTGTTTTGAAATTTAAGGGAAGAGTTAATGGGACAAGGGCATGAAGAAAGATTAGGCAGATTAATAAAAGGGGATGCTTAGACATTTGGGGGGGGATTTATATAATTGGCATTGAACAGTTTTGTCCTCACTAAGGTATTGGGCATGAAGCACACTCTTCCAAGGCCACATCTCGCAAAGGTTTTGAAATCATGGAGTATCATGGAGCATTTTATAGTCAAAATTCTATTTTCACTGTGTGCCTTTTGCTTTGCTAAGGAATGGTAATGTTGTGTGTCTGATTGTTTCCTAGGTTAACTTCTCAGCCTGGTGGTACCCTACCAAATGGACGTAGCTTGTGTAAGTGAATTACAGCTTTTTGGTGTGAACTTTCACATTAAGCAGTTTTATGTCAATGATTTTCAGTGGCRTATGTTTTTGATAACTTTACTGATTGCTTTGACCATTTTGACCAGAAAAGYTAATGTTTTGGCTCAGWTTTCTCCTGTTSATGTYTTGGATACTCTCTGTGGATATGGGRAACATTTTTAGATGAAAATCCATTTCTCTTCTCAATTCAGACCTCTTGGCCATGATCTCGATGTTTTCCTTAATTCCCAAATTACTGTTATGACCTAATTTTGGCCTTCCTCTCCCAGCTSGTCTCTTTAATTTACTTACTCCTTGCTCATCTGAAATTTGGCCTTCTATGGTCCTTAACATTACKTAACTCTGCTATTGCTTTAGAGAGACCTGCCTTGTCTGCAGCTCCTGCTACTTTGAGCAGTCTTCCTGAAAGCTTGTATCTTATGAATTTGCCATTTCATTGCTTATCTCAGCTAAAACCACTTTGTCTTTTCCGTCCCTTTTTCATCAGTTCTGTCTTGTTTAGATCTRTGTTGATTCAATGTGTTATTTCATTAAGCAGATTTGGTGCTTTATTATTTATTGTGGTGCCTAAGGAGCAATCAGCAGTGGGATCTCTTTGTTTGGCACAATACAGAGTAGCTGGTATGGATTTGCTTGTGAAGTCAGTATGTTGTATSTGACCTTTTGATGCTATATTTGAAAGACTAAGAATTGAAACTGGGGGCCAAGTGTGCATTTTAGTATTGATGTTAAYTTAAAAATATTGAATGCTTATTTGAATGCCAAATTGTCATCATAAAAYAAGATTATCATCTGAGGAAAAAAGTTCAAATATGCAGAAATAACTTACTTGAAAATAACTTTGATAAGAGTTAAAAAAATACAGTTCTTTAGCTCATACTGTGCTTAATAACTTTTGGTTTATTGTCCTTGCTAARTATTCTCTTATTAAATCTTGCTTGTGAAATTGTTGTTTCCTGCATTTTGAAGTAGTAATACAAATTTCTCTTAGCTCTCAAAAGCCACCCCCTTCGAGGGGAAAAAAAGGGAGATGGGGACCATGCTTGCATAAACGGAGATATAGAAGTCAGAAAAAGTTGTCGGTCCAGGAAAAACAGATTTGAAACTTTGAATCAGAGTTTATTGTTTGATCAGCTAGTAAACAGGTATGTGGGGATACTACAGTTGTATTCACAAAGCACTTTAATGRTTTGTTAAAATTAGAAACCACTGTGTTCCAGTGCCATGTCTGTGTTTTATTGTGGGGGTACATTGAGACAAGCTCGATTGTGGTTTGAATTACAGCTGGGTCTGTGCTGTGACTGCCACGGTATCCATGGTCTAAATGCAGAGCAGCTTCCCAGGCTTTCATTGAGGAGTAAGTTACTCTGTGTTTACGCTTGGATAAAGCTGTATGTTGGCAGTTRCTGCAGAGAGCCTGACGTGCTGTAAATCCACACCCTAGTTTGTTTCTTGGTAACCTGTTTATGTAGTGATACCTTAAATGTCATGTAAATTGGTAATTAGCAGCAGTGCTTGGAAGCATTCTAGATTTTGCTTGTATAATTTTGATCATAAAATATCAAAAGTTTGTAGCTTYCTTTTGTTTTTGTTTTTTACCATTTGTTAATAATTCACATAGGTTGGGTGTCACTTTTTGACATTTACTGTGCAGACAAAGTAGGTCAGGCAGTGAGGCACGGTCTGGTCTGAGCATAGGAATGGGAGCCAGAAATGCTTTTATTGAAATATTATTTCTCTCTAGCCCTGGGTAGGTCACTTAATATGTCCTGATCTTCCCACCTGTAAAACAAGTTTTAATTGTCACATCTGTGAGAGACTGCTHTCTCTAGTGCTGGAAAATGATTTAAACGTAAACATTTAATTGCCAAGTAYGATCTTTATTGTTAAATGTATTCTGTTGAATCTTTTATTAATTTAATTTTCTTTTTCAATTTACTCAGTAGCTACTTGGTATCAGTTTGCAAACTTACATTGAGTTACCTCTATTTTTCTAGTTGCAGTTGAAACTCCCTCTCCTCATCAACAGTAGGAAAAAGTCTACCATGAAGATTTAAATTTGATAAGATCATGGTACTGAAGTCTGTATATGAGCTTATACTGATAACAATGTGTCCCATAGTCTTTATAGGTTTTTTAGAGTAGTTTAGAAAATGTCTGTCAGGAATGATTTAGGCATTCTGTAGTTTGCTCTTGCCTGGCAGATCATGGACACTTTTCCAGGTCCCTTCCAACCCTTTTTTCTTTGGTAGCAAACTACAGCATGATTTTACTTGAAGTGCTTCTGTCTCACAGGCATCACAGATATTTTGGAAGAATTATTTAAAATTGAGAGAAGCTCTCATAATGAAATCTTGACTTTTCTGACTTAMATCACCAGAACTTCCACTTTCTAGGCAGGCTTTCACTGTTTAGATTGACTTTTAAACAGCTTGAATAAAAGGAAATGGAAGTTTCAGTCTTCCTACAAATATTATACAATTATAGTAGAATTCCAGCTGAAATCTACTATGATGACCATGGAGAGCAGTAACATGGTCTTGAGGACAGGTGGCCAAATAATTGACTTGGCCTGGCTAATACTGTGTTGTTCTCTTCCTTAGCAGTGGAGCATCTCAGCCAGGGTTATTACTTACATACCACCATTGTTTTGAMAGCTGTTTACAAATACTCCAGATAATGAAAATGCTGACTAATTAAATAGTAGATGAGAAATGGTAGTGAGGTCAAATACTAAATGATGAGATTCTAGATGCTGCTGATTTAACAAAAAGGAAATCCTTTATGTTCCAGCGTCTTTTTGAGGCCAGGGTAAGAAACTGTAAAGCTTATGGGGTGGAGACATTCTTGCATTCCCAGTATTACAATTACTTTTTTATTTTGCAAACTTAATCTTACCTGACAGCCTCTAATGTCTAAGCAGTTGCAAATTTATACGCTACAATTTATACTGATCAAAAACCTTTTTAGAAGGTTTTTTTAATACTACTGTCTAATTTGAAGCCCAGACTTTGATAACATCAGTATTTTTTTCTTTTACCTACTTCTTGGTTSTATTCTTTCAGTTTTATTATGCTTGGTTTTGTAGTTAATTCAAAGCCAGCTTAAGATGCTGGACACTATGTCAAAAGTTCTGCATGTTACTGTTTTAAGACTGATTTTTTGTGTGTGTTAACTGTTGCATATATTTTAGTACTGCTGAAGCTGTCCTACAGGAAATGGATAATATTAACATCAGGAGGAACAGGAGATCTGGGGAAGTAGAACGGCTACGGATGTGGACAGATACAGAATTTGTAAGTGCAGAGTGTTTGAGATCTTGRATAGAAGCAGAGCATGTTTGTTTTTGCAAATGCCGTATATTTGTCTGTAGCTTTGTCTAAAGGTTTTTGTGGATAACATAAAAAAACTTGATGAACTATGATAAGCTAAAATTCACAACTAAATTCATGGATATAGACTGAGTTATGATTTGCTTATTGATAAATTGACTGTCATGCTCTCATGAGGTGATGTGGTGGTTCTCCTKTGGTTTGAAGAGGGACCTGTCGTGCAGACAGAACCAGGGACTGTCATAGGCTTTTTTCATGAAAACAGCTTGATACTGATGCTGCTCTATATTAGATGGACTAGGTCTGAGAGACTTACTTTAGCTTTAATACTTACTATTAAATGAGACTGGCTTTGGTCTACATGTGGAGAGCTCTGCTGGAAAAAACACTTGAGGGCTTGAGATTGCGTGGAGCATTACTTACTGCACTGGAACTGACACTGTGAATGACATGGGACAGTACTGATGGGAGTGAATGTGACTTTTTTTCCAGGAAAACATGGATATGTATTCTCGAGTGAAAAGAAGGAGGAAATCACTGAGGAGAAATAGCTATGGGATTCAGAACCACCATGAGGTGTCCACAGAAGGGGAAGAAGAAGGTATGGGTTGYAGAAAATTGTAGGGCTTGTCTGAAATACTTATGAAACCAAGTTTTCCTGCACATAAGATCGCAATACATTGCACTACAGAAAGCAGAAAAAAGCCTGGTTTCTCAATGTTTGTGTACTACATTTCTTTCTTTCTGTTTTTCATAAGGTAAGTAATTAGAGCTTTCCTTACATTCCCTGTAACAATCCTCTGGTGGAAATCAGATGTGATGAATGTAGTCTACAACTATCTGTGTTCTAACTGACTTGATGTTTCTCATGTGCTGAGTGGCAATTACCAGAAAGAATTTGTAATAGTCAGTCCTGCATCCTTCCTTTGGTGGAAGGTATTTTAATTAAAATGTTTTGTGTCCAACAGGTGCAAAGGTGTATTTGAAATTCTACCTTCCTTTAAAAAATTGAGTGAAACTGGTCAGTGGGTTCAAAAATTACTGTGAAAGAAGGGATTGTGGCTAACTTTGATGSCCTAATCAGCATTATGCTTGGCCTCCTTAAGAAATCAGACTCAAACTTCAGCCATCTTTACGAGTTTTAGCATTGTGCATCTCAATTTTTAACTAAAACTCTTGTAAAAGGTATGGTTTGTCCTAAGGAATTAGAGTGCAATCTTAGTTCTGAGATCCATTGTTGGAAATTGTGATCCTGTTAACAGATGGGCCTAGGTTTTGCATTTATACACTGTGTTTCTTTGCTTCRTATACAAATAGTGATAAGTTGTACGTATTTTCATGCTGTGTCAAGTGTTTGATTTATTGAGGCTCCTATGGGAAAAGAGAAGAAAGGCTTTATTCTTAATTTGAAGGATAATTATTTAAGGATGAATTTAGTGGATAGAAGTGATATTTGAAGTACTTTATAACTAAAGCTGTTTTGAATGCATTTATTTTTATTTCTTGTGCCTTTCCAGAACCTTCTGTAAACAAACTAGAAGGAAATTTGACCATGTGCTATAGGTTTTTCGTGTCTTCAAATTTCCAGCAATTTGCCAATGAGTGTTAATTAATAAGTGGGCAGTAATTCTCAGTGACCATTAAAATGTTAATTTTTTACCTCTGACGTGAAGTGTAAGTATTCTGAAAATATTTTTCTCCCCCTACAGAGTCTCAGGAAGAAGATGGAGATATAGAAGTAGAAGAAGCTGAAGGGGAAGAAAATGATCGGCCATATAATCTCAGACAGAGGAAAACTGTTGAAAGATACCAGGCCCCTCCAATAGGTGAGGAACCAGACAGTGCTCATGCTGTTCTGCTCTACAGACCTGCAAGGATACCATGAGTGTGGGGAGAGAATGGTTGGAGGGATGCTCCTTGTCCCTGGCAGAGTAACAGGGATGCAGCACTGTGTGGTTTCCACCCTGACCTGTTGTGGTTCTCCACATGGATGGGATTGCTGAGACACAGGGTGTCAGTTTGTCAGTGGTGGTGGCATTGCTGCCTCATTGAACTYTGCAGGTRTTGCCCTGTRCTGGGTTCAGAGTTGGAGRTGACAGGGTTTAGGTCAAGAAACACTTGGAGAAAGTAGTCTAATAAATTAGGTGATTWCATAGAAAAAAYAGTTGCGGTTATGCCTGCTTCKCTTCTTGAGTGGTAAGCCTAATTTSTAATTGTAGATAAATSRTCTAGTAGCACTTAGCACATTTTGCCTAGATCAGAAATTTAAAACATTTCAGTTGGAAGGAATCTACAGTGACCATCTACTCCAGCTACCTGACCGCTTCAATGCTGACCAAATCTGAAAGTGTGTTATTCAGGTCATTGTCCAAATATCTCTTAGAACAGGCTTGGGGCATCAACCACTTCTTTAGGAAGCCTGTACCTTGGACCACCCTCTCAGTAAAGGCAATACTTCTTGCTGTTGAGTTTGCCTGATGCAGCTTTGAGCCATTCCTGCAAGTCAGAGGATCACAGAATATGACTTCTCTGATAGAGAACAGCTGTGGTTCATTCGTTCAGAGAAATTTTAAGATATCCCATATTATCAGCTATGAAGAGCTTTCTGTGTAGAGCTTTATGTTCTGTAAATAAACTAGAAATGCTAGTGCCCTGGATGAGTTAGATTCTGTGCCATGATAGATACACCTCTGATGGTTTGAGGAGGACGAGGATGGAGTTCCCATGCCTACATCAAGCCAAGTACAGTGATAGTGACAAAGCACAAAGAGATTTGATTCCATCCTGCCCAGTTCTTGCCTTGACTTAAGCTTTTAGAGGAACCAGTGATAACCATATTGGTGAAGTGATAATCTAGTGCTTTTGTGCTGCATTTAGATTAGTTTATTATTCTTTTGTAATTGMTATTACAGTGCCAGCTCATCAAAAGAAGAGGGAAAATACGCTGTTTGACATTCACAGATCTCCTGCAAGAAGAAGCCATATCAGGTAAATGTCAGTCTTTTGGTATATAGTTGTTTGCTTTCTTTCAATACRTTCTGGTAGCTTTTGATTTTCAAACGGTTCTTGAGTGAGTTGCACAGTTTGTTCATGCATGTGAGTGGGTCTTGAATTGTATCCTAGGTTCAGACCCTGATCAGCATCCAAACAGGAGTGTCATGGCTCTTTGTAATCCCAGTAGAAGTTTTGTACTAAATAGAATGGAAACAGGTGTGCCCCAAGTACTGGAAAGAATTCTGCATGAAACACCGTAGCTTTTTCTGTAAGGCCATATATTTAATATTTAATATTTAAATCCAAGGCATCAGTTTAACAAATACCCCCTTTCTGTTCTAGAAAACCGAACAAAACAGGTTGATGTTGTTTTCTTTTAGTTCATATTTCATCCAAGGATTATCAACAATTTAATAAAATATTTAGCAAGCATAATTTTTGACTCTTATGTTTTGTGTCAAAGAAGTCTGGAATGTACCAAGTTGTCTTGGAAACTGTGGGTAGACTTTATGTAACAAAACAGATGAGCTTGCAGCTTAAAACATTTTTTAAAAATTAAACTTACTCAAAGCTTCAAAAAGGCAAATCTGTCCATGAACAGAATCCAAGTAAATGAATACTAGTCATAGCTGAAACTCTTGTCTTATTGCTCAGTTTAATGACATAGTGAAAATATGTGAAGTAAATAAAGTAATAGCTGAATCTGAGGATTCTAAAGTTTCTTTGTAATACAAATAAGAGTTGGAAGTGCATATGACATTTTTTTTATAATCTCTGAACTTGTACTTACTGTTATATCTGAAGACTGTGGAAGTTATTATCCCTTCAGTTTTAGTGTGCTTGTTACTCAGCCATCATTTTTTTTCCCTTTTTGTCAGAACATGGTCATAAAAAGTCTTCCCAATTGCAKGATACATTTCAAAATGTATCAGAGAGAGTGTCTCATTTTTGGTCATTGAACAGTAAAACTGATCGACCATATTATCCATTGGCAGAAACCATCTAGGTCAGTGCATTACCATGTTCATACAAATGATGCAGYTCACTATATTCAGTTAAAATCTAAGACTTTTTACTAGTAACCAACCCTTCATGCAAAAAAGTGCTCGATTTTTCAGATGGGTATCAAATTCAATACCTTTTTGTACAGAAAACGTAATGTATAGTCGCTAATATTTCTGAAATACTCAGTTTTCTGAAATACTGTCATACTAAAATAAGAAATGGTTCATTCAGACTTTGGATAATAATTGTACTTGGATTTGGATCAGAAGTACAGGTATTTTGTGAGCCTATTCTGCTGTTCAGAATTAATAACCTCACAAAAAGAGACTATATACTTTGTAAAATATGGAGTTTTTCAAAGAATATTTAAAAGAAAGCATCAAACTGAGTAAGGAGATCTTGGTAGGTTGGTTATGTTAGAGGTGGATAAAGTGGTTGGAAGTTTTCCTAAATATGGTTGCAGCTTATTGATTGAATATTCAAATCACATTGCTGAGGTAACATGGACTGGACCACATATATTAATTAGTGTTCTAGTAACGTTCATGTTGAAATCAGATAATCCCTGTGCCAGTAAGAGCTGCTGTTTCCCTCTCTGATTATTTTGATACTTAATGAAGSTAAAATTTGCATGCATCTCAGTTCTGTACTTGCCATTTCAGTTCCACTTTTATAGAAGAACCAAAACATGCCATTGTACTGCAAATAAGACTGAGTTTTCTGTTTGTTTTGCCATTCAATAGGAGAAAGAAGCATGCCATTCACAGCAGTGATACAACCTCTTCAGATGAAGAACGTTTTGAAAGAAGGAAATCTAAAAGCATAGCCAGAGCAAGAAATAGGTATGAAAACATCATCCTTGGTCTTTAGAATGGTTTGATTTTATTATTCATGAGAAAACAAGCAGAACTAGTGTTAAATGTTCTATGAGTTCTGCAGTTTTGATTCTGTAATTACCTGTGGGCATGGTTTAAAAGGAGTGCTGGTTATATATTAATACAAATTTTGGAGTCTTATGAGTGGATCATTAATTATATAGATAAAAAGCTGGAAATACAAGAATAGCTGTTTGATTCAGTTGAGTTATAAAAAAACAACTGTTGGTTAAAATAGGTTTTTATTCTTGGTGTAACTTGGTTCCAGTTAGTTCAGTTGTACTGCCAGCTCTTCCCTCTTCCTCTTGTGTAACACTATGTGCATTCTACACATTCAGTGTATGTTTTTTTGAGCTTKCACATATTTAGCAATAATCTAAAAGGGGAAGATGTATAAGTAAATTTATTCACTGCYGCAGATACCTAAGTAGGAAAATTCTTCAAGAGAAAGAGTTTCCTTGTCTTTTTTCCATCTCTTCCTGTCTGCCACATCATTCCCTTTCCCACTTCAAGGAATTCAAGCAATGTACAATTACCAGAAGTGTAGTTCTGAGTGTAACCTGTGTCTTATTTCTTCCTCCCTTTAAATATGTAGTTGATCTGATGTAGTATGTATGTAGGGGCGTAAAGGAAGGAAATGTTGTTTATTCTGTGTTTAATCAAAATAATCTGCCCAGATTAGTCAGGTTGAAATACATTTATGGAAGYATAAAACTAACTTTGTATTAAGAAGTTTCCAGATACATAACAATAATTGCCACAGGAAAAAAAAACGCGAGTAGTTTTGTTTAACAATCTGGGAAGGTTGCCTCTTTATGTAATAAAATGCATTTACTCTCTTGATTCTTCCTCCCCAAGCAATGAAAACAGATCAGTATTTATCTGGTGTTTGTTTGTTAAAGGTGCCTGCCTTTAAACTTCAGAGCAGAAGACTTAGCTAGTGGAATCCTTCGAGAGCGCGTGAAAGTTGGGGCAAGTTTGGCTGATGTTGACCCTATGATTGTTGATAAATCGGTAGGTTTTGGTAATGCTTCTTATCTTCCTTACCTCGATTTATGCATAAGCAGAATTCTCCACAGCCTCTCATTGAGCTTGAAGTAAATTTATAAAAAGCTCACTGATCTTTTTTATTTTATTTTWTTGTTACTAAAGCTTTGTCTGTTTATTCTTTTGGACTACAAAGCATTTGCTGTGGGGCTTAGGCTGGATCTCTCTAGATGTTCTGGCTTCCCTGGCAGTTAACTTGCAAACCAGATAAGCCTCATGTGGGCAGCCAAGAGTTGACTTTCTCAACTATTGTTTTCACACTTTCAAAATTCAGGGAAATCCTGTTGATCAATGCAGTGTTTTTTCTAATTTGTTTTGAAATGTTTTATAAGTAAAGGTGCTTTTGTGGAAAGTTGTTACAATATAAACTTTGTGTGCTCTCTTTTTCCCTCAGGTGTGTTTTGATAGTATAGGGGGATTGAGCCATCATATCCTTGCACTTAAGGAAATGGTAGTGTTTCCTCTTCTCTATCCAGAAATATTTGAAAAATTCAAAATTCAGCCACCAAGGTAGGTGCATTTACTCTTACCGTTGCATTTTTTAAATTAAGCTCTGAAGAATTGAAAACATACAGGAGATTGATTCATTCCTTYAAGTGTTTTGCAGTTCAAATAGATTTACATGTTTGCTACCCCACTTGTCTACCAGAATATGTAATAAGCAGGATGAAGAGTTAGAAAAACCTAGTGTATTTTTCTTGTGGTAGAAAGGTAAACTTTGTGATTGGTTGAAGAAAGAATTCTCATGTGTTCTGTGTAGCACCTTGCCTTTTTTTCTCATTATTAAATATTTTACRAGATCAAGCAAAATGTTGATGTTTCTCTCAATAATATTATGCTGTGATTTTATGTTTATTAATCAGGCATCTTGGAAGGTTATTTAAATGGGTACATGGTATCTAAGTAAATTGAAAATTTGGGGGTATTTTTGTCACTTAATTMCTTTATTCCAAAGAATTAACAAACACTGATTAAGGTGTTACCTAAGGTCTAATATTTGAATAGGTGATATTTAACTAATGTGAAGGAATGCTTTGGAAACTTAATATGCCTTTGTTTAATGTTCTTTACAAATCAAAGCTTTGTTTGTASAAATCAACTGATTTGGAAGCATAAAACAAACTTAGATTTTATAAAGTCATGTTATTACAGAAAATAGTTATATGAGATCTTAAGTCTTTCTTCTCCAGGCTCCCTGTCTTCATTATAAAATTTGACTTGGAGTTTTTCAGGAGACGTAAAATAAGTTTGTGACTGTGTTGATCCATTTATCTTCAGGGGCTGTTTATTCTATGGTCCTCCTGGAACAGGTAAAACCTTGGTAGCTAGAGCTCTAGCTAATGAATGCAGTCAAGGAGACAAAAAGGTGGCTTTCTTTATGAGGAAAGGAGCAGACTGTCTCAGTAAGTGGGTTGGTGAATCTGAACGTCAGCTTCGACTCCTTTTCGATCAGGTTAGAAGAAAATCTTTTTTTCGTATGATTTCCCTGTATGTTGTTTTTTGTGGTTTAGATAGCCAAAGTTGTTTGCAGTTGAAACTAAATAATTGTAAATTTTCAGAAATTATGCAACATTTCACCAAATGGTGTTTTTGGATTAAAAAAAAGAGAGGAATGCTGACTGTAGTTTTTCTTGTTCTGGAAACTTAGAAGTCTCTTGACTTGTCCATTAATGAAGCAGTTTGAGTAAAAATTGAAAAAAAAAAGTTCAGTAATTTTGAGTTTGACTGGCATATTCAAGATAAATGCTACATAGAGGAGTGCATGACTGCACTGGTTGTGTGTCTATTTTAGTGTTCTTTTTTGGCTTAGAAGAGATTGGACAGAAGAGAGAGTCACATAAAGCTGTAAATGCAGTAGCTCAAAGAGAAGTAGTTGTCAGAGATATCTAAACAGATCATGAGCGGATAAGACAATGTTTTCTGTAACTGGGTGTAAGGTGTGTGTCTTTAACCTGTGCAGCACACAGTAAATCTGGTRCACTGGTGCCACCTTGCTTACTCCAAGCAGACTGCACTCTGCTTTGCTTTGGAACACTGCAAATTCAGTTTTCATTTCAGACTTYATACTTTCTAACAAAGATGTCTCAATGTATGTGTTGGTTTAGCATGTTAATGCTTTCTGGTGAAACCAGTTTTCAATTTSATGGATAAATTAGGAATTAATAGTGAATTCAATTTTTGTTTTATTTATTGCATACCAGGCATACTTGATGAGACCCTCTATAATCTTTTTTGATGAAATAGATGGCCTGGCTCCAGTTCGTTCTAGCAGACAAGATCAGATTCACAGGTAATATTTCTTGCATGCTGCCATTATCTTGGTATAGGGTACATTATCTTGGTAAACTCTTAAATGTAATTTTACTCATTTCCCAGGAAAGGTTTTTACTTTTYCTGAAGCTCACTTACACTAGAAAGGACAAATTGGTTTTTTGGTGTAAAAAGTCATCTTTTCAGTCCTTCAGGCAGACTGTAATTTGCTGGGAATTGAATTGCAGTGACAATTACCCTTCAGCCACGTTATTAACTCCAAGATTTCTACAGCCATTCCTTGCTTTTTTGTTTTGTGCTGTAAACAGATTGTCTGTTACCAGCACAATAGAATAACCAGTTGAAAAAAATGTTATTCTAACATGATAAATTGTGATGTTCTGGGAATTAGCTGAACTCACCTGTGATTTTGATTCTAGATGGTGTGATGTACAAATGCATCTTGTGTTGCTATAGTGTCATTTTTTTAAAACRTTTTTTTACAACAGTTGCCTGCTGGCTGAATTTTTTTGTGGCTGCTTTTTGCTGGGTTCTGTATGGCAACACATTTGTACCTGTCATTCTACAGCTGGTGGTATTTATGTGTCTATATCCCTCCACTCTGCTGAGAGAAAGAGGAGAGAAATTTGGGGCCAGCACTCCAGGAGGTCAATGGAATATATGAGGCTTAAAACTGTTATGCACCTGTTTGTAGCTTAACTTTTTTCTTTTGAATGGATTAATGTTGCRTTTGAAAATGCAAAAGTTCTTGCAGTGTTCCCTACAGTTTCTTTTTCTGAAAACTCTCTTTTAGCTCTATAGTGTCTACTCTTCTTGCCCTCATGGAYGGACTGGATAATAGAGGTGAAATAGTTGTAATTGGTGCTACAAACAGACTGGATTCTATAGATCCTGCACTCAGGAGACCTGGTCGCTTTGACAGGGAATTTCTTTTCAACTTGCCTGACAAAAAGGTAAAATCTAGAAAGGAGATATATTGATAAAYATCTTTAGTATATTAAACATTTGAATGCCTGACTGCTAAGCCTGTGAAATGAAAGTATTCATTCTTGCATGTAAGAATGTTTAATTTTAGGAAGACAATTTTAGTACAGACATATTGTATACATAAAATTGTATTGAGCTTCAAATCTTCAGGACATAGCTAAAACTAAACAGATGTAAATTATTCACAAWAAAATGAATTGCTTATCTAAAAACTGCGGATTTGTATAATGAACTCCAACTATTTGGGGGCTTGAAACTTATGGTAAGAGAAAATGACTTTAAATGTTGTAGACTTCYAAGCATGAAAAACTGTAGATGCACAGCCAGACAGTACAATGTTGGTAACAGAAACATCTGAGTTCCTTATTTTAAACTAACATAAACTCAGCYCTAATGCTTCATTAATTTACTCTTACAATTAAATTTACTTTGTGTATGGATAGATATATTTGGATTATGTACTGCTTTTAGCTGGAATTATTTTGGGATTCATGTGTATGTGCTGTGCTACTCAGCAATACATTAATTGGCGAGGCCTTTGACAGTAGAACCTGTTAATCATAGGTGYAGTAATTAAAAATGAAATTACAAAACTTAATAATTCCTAATAGAACAGGAGTTTTATACAGGAACATGTATAATAATGTTGATTAAACAGAATTYAAAACGTGTTACTGGTGAAAAGAGTACTTCTTATATATGGAATTAAAAAAGAAGGGAAAAGCTTTGCTCTTGCCTTTCAAGTGCCAAGTTGTACTTTACGTGTCTCAGTAAAAAAGTAGGTAAAGTAACTATTGATTCACGTGAATAAATAATGGTTTTTCTATTATATGGATTTGACTTGTTAGATTTTAATCACATTTTCTTTTCTTTCTTTTTTTTAATATCAGGCACGAAAGCACATTTTGCAAATTCATACCAGGGATTGGAACCCCAAACTGTCAGATCCTTTCTTAGGAGAAYTGGCTGAAAAATGTGTTGGTGAGTGTTAATGATGTTAGTACCTTTACTGTAGAGGCTTTCTCTTCTGTGTAAAACTTTGAAGGTATGTTGAATGTATCAAGATATTTTCTTGTCYTTAACTTTCTAAACCTCTGTACTTTGAACAACAGTCTTTTTGTGGTAACAAAATATATTTCACTCTTAGTAAAACACAAAATGAGTAGCTAGTAGTCATTTGAAAATACAGCCGTGTTTCCTTTCTCTAACATCTCTATAGGATGCATACTCTCAAAGAGAAGCAAAGTGAAGTTGGAATTGCAATCTTTAGGTAGATTTCCCACTAAATTAGTATATTACAAAAAAAGCTAGGGAGACCAGGGGTTTTTCTGTCTACTTATTGAGGGAAAAAAATCAGTACTTTGTATGGGGTTTTTGGTTTTTGTTTGTGTTTTACTGACTGGCATGCTCCCCTCTGTCATAAATCCAACAAACTAACCAGCCTTTCTAAAGATGAATTTTTTTCCAGATTGCTAGCACAGAACAACCTCAAAGTGTAGACATAGGTAGGGGGAAAAAAAGCAGCACACCATGATTACTTTAAATACACTTTTGGAGCTCCCAAAGACCTGCTGTACTGAATGGAGGTTGGTTGTTCAAGATAAACCTGCTGTTTAAATCCAATCAGAAATAAACCCAAATATTTTTATACTGAATTTAACAGAGGAAATGACCCTAAAGCACACACTRCAGTATCTTCTCAACAATTTGTCATGCAAAGATTCATTCTCTGTTAGTCATCTGCTTGGACGAGCACTGAAGTTCTCAGAAAAAGAACAGTCTCAAATATCTATGCTTTGGAATCCATCATCACAGAATCTCAAGAACTTTAAATTGAACATCAGTCCATTCAGTCAGCTACAGTACATCCRAATTATCCTCTTCATCCACAGGGACATCTTTCATCGAAGCAGCATCCCTCCGCTTTTGATGCACAAAGACCTCAACATCTTCTGGTGAGGAGAAAACATAACTATCCAGCAAACTGCAGTTTAAGCCTGGCCGGGTATAAGACAGCACATGACAAACCCATTTCACATTCTGCTTGATTTGTGCTGCTGCTTAGTGGGAGAGAGGGGAGTAGGTGAGGAAAAAAACACAGATGTTTCTTTAAAAATACACTGGATTTTTTCACTGAGAGCRCAGTATTTTAGAATTTCAGATAAAAGGGAAAACCCTTTGTTTCATTGGATGACGTTCTTTGTGCTCCATAAAGCCTGTCAGKTTTGTGGAAGTCAGCTAACAAAAASAAATACCCTTTKCYGTTTTCCTTGGCTTTCCTACTCTCCAGCTACTCTACACTTGATTGTCTCCAATCTGTATCCTGGAATTCAAGTGTTTCCATACATCCCAGATGAAAATCTTTTGAGTATTACAAGGACTTTTCAAAACTCGTGTATCTTCTTCACCTTGATATTGCCTCGTCATTTTTATAAGTAAAATATGCAGCAATAATGATTTAAATGGACTTTCCACATTCTTTGTGGCCTTTACCATTGGGACTCACTGGCACACGTGTATGTCTGTGATGCAGTTTATACCAGTCTGCTGTTTCCTCTTGTGTGCAGGCTTTCTTTAAAAACAAACAACCAACCTTCCCTGTCAAAAAAAAAAAAAACACCCCCTCTTCCCCAAGTAAAAGCTACCTGGACCTGCCAGGCTTTTGGCACTGTGTGGTTGATACTTCTTTCCAGTTTAGCAGACCTGGCAATACTTAACTCCGAGCTTTTGGATCCTAATGAAGAAAACTGCTGAAATACTCCCGAAACAAATRACTTTTGGGAAGCAGGTGTGTGTGTGTGACACAGAACTTCTTAAGATCCAGGGGTGTAATTAGAAGGAAATTGGAAGGGAAAAGCCCCAGGACTTGCAAAAAATAGGTTTTTTCCTGAGGGTTGATTTTTGTCCCAGGTGTTASGGATTGCAACCTTTTAGTGGATTTCTGAGTATATGAGAATTAAAGACTCCATTTCTCTGAATGGCCTCATGACTGCAGTGTGTGTGAGACGAAGTGGAGCGCCTTGGGGAGAGCACAGCATTGCTCAGAAGAGCCCACACTCATGTCTTATTAGTACATTCAGTAAACACACATAATTACTATGTTTTATCCTTACTGGAGATGGACCCCAGATACCCTGAACTTTATAAATCCTTTCTTCTTTCTTGTACTAATTCCCTTGTTCTGAATGATAGCTTTCTGTAGGTAGAGAGACTTACCTACGAGCTCAGTCTTGCAGGAAACAAAACATATCAGCAACTGAAAAAGTGTGAATTCCTCCATCTGGCATCTTGCAGATGAATCTTTTTACAAGGTAGTGAGGGTTGTTTAAATAATGCTAAATAGAATTGTTCAGAAGCAAACTATCACTCAAAATGCTTGTTAAAAATACTCCATTCTGTGCTTATTATTGCAGGAGCATTTTGTGGCAAAATGATACCATGTTAGATTTTTCTTTCCCATCCTCATGTAATAATTGTGGGGGAGATTTCAGCATTATTGTTCCTGTTTTTCACAATTTTTTAAAATAAGCCTAGTCATTATTTTTTATCTTTGTCATCATGCTGATTTGTTTGCTAACTCTCTTCCCCTACAGTAATTTTGGGAGTTTTGTAGGGAATTGCACAACATGAAGTGGAAGAAGTCATAAAGATTGTTCATGTAAATGCTCTACCCACTTCAGTGGCACTTTGTTGTGGTTTTTAAGGGTGGGTTTTAGGCAGAAGAAATTTTAAAGAGGACATAAATTCTGCACAGTAGAGATGGAAGAGGATGGCTGGAAAATTCTGGTGATCAAAGTGTGTTCTTTGGAAACCTACATAGGAATCCACTTGTTTGCTGTCCTGCTTTTTGAAAGCTGTACTTCAGAAATGTTTAGCAGAGTGTAGTGGTGGTGGGTAGAAGGAAATGGGCTACTTGACAGGAATCCTCATTTATTCTAAGTTAATGTGTGCCAGTACATTTTGCTTGGCAAACTGAACACCTTTTGTGAGATGCTTCAAAAATGGAAGCAAATGCACAGAACCCTGAGTTTATATTACAGTGTCAGTTTGGATAAAAATTAATTCAGGTTATTTACTGTTGGCATGATACATTTTATTTTGCTTTGACAATACTTCATTCATGTTTTTCTTTCTCTTAATCAGTGTGCATTTGCTTCTTGGAAATAAAAAGCTCTTTAATGTTTCACAAGGTACASGATTTTTGCAGTTTTCCTGTCACTGAAATGGATGTACAGTATGCACAAGAGAGCCCCTCAAAAAGAGACACCAATTACTAGTCTTCAAATGTAATTGCTCCTGAGAAATGAGAAGTAGAAATGGAGACTAATTGTGTATCTGATCACCTGAGAATTTAATTTTAAAAATAGGCTACAGGCTATTATTTCCTAATTTTGCAATTCTTTGGAGATGTACAAGCAGTGATTAAAATGACTGTTAGAAAGCGATATTACAGCATTTGTTAATAGAAAAGTTGGGAAGGATTTATAGCTCCTGAGCTCCTGAGCTGCTGAATCTTTTGTCACAAAGATACTAAACTAGTTTCTAAGGTGACAGGCATTAAGGTTGCTGTATATCTCCAGCACATCTTTGATTTCAGCTTTGGTATAATGCTCCCCACACTCATTTTTTGCTTAATCTAATGTGGTTTTTGGATGAGAAGTGGACCAATTTAAATGGGAATGTGATACCTGTTATCTAAAGAACAAAGCAAAATTTTGATCTCTCTRATGCACTTGAARCTACTGTCTAATAGTTTCACATGGTTTGAGTGTGCCTGCATAGTTTGGATTTGATGTTAAATGAAGTTAAAAAAAAAACCAAATAACTTCAGTGTTGAAAACAATTAGTTGCCTATTGATTAATATAGTGAATGTGTCTGAGCATATTTCAGATGTAATGTGTATTTATTTCATGGTARCTTGGGAATGTGAGTTGCTGCATAYGTTTTAGATAATAGTCATGGTGTGCACTCATCAAATGTACACAATTGTAGCTATTAACCTTTTTATAAAATTGCCAAGTGCCAGCAGCACTGAAAGAACATCAGAGGCTAAAGAGAGAGAAGCAAGGCAGGCCTCAGTTTTGGGACTTGATGCTGCCAGAAGACCAATCATAGAATAATAGAATGTTTTGGATTGGAAGGGACCTTAAAGTTCATCCAGTYCAACCACCTGCAGTGGGCAGGGACACCTTCCACTAGACCAGACTGCTCAGAGCCCCTTCCAACCTGGCCTTGAACTGTTCTGAGGATGGGACAGCCCCAGCCTCTCCAGACAACCAGTTCAARTGCCTTATAGTAAAGAATTTCTTTGTGTTATCGATCTAAACCCTAATTTGTCTTAATACAAAAATAGAGTAAAAAAAATGCAAATAGTGTAAGACTTGGTGGGGAGGTGGAATAGTTTTAACTAAAGAATTGGTTAATTACTTTCTATAAATAMTTCATTACAAGCCCATGAACTTCTATGTGGCATTACCTTAGTGCAACACATTTTCCTATAGCGACTCTTAATTCTCTAAATGACTTTTCTCACTGGAATATTGTTTTAAAGTTTTGGAAAGATGGAGCTATGGTGCCTCAAAATACAGAGACATATAAATGTCTCTTGCTGAGGGAGATGGAAAAACTTGAAATCTAATTTCTAGCCCAGGGGAAAACCCCCAAACCATTAGTACTGCAGAAGACTCAGAGGYATTAGGTCTCTCTGTATTTCATAATTATCAGATCTGTGTTTTTTCATCAGTAATGGTGATTAAGCAATTATAGGTAGCCACCTGTAGATACTTATGAAGATGGGCTAAATTAAAATTTTAATGCATTTTAATTTCTACTTCTGGTTATATTAATAAAGTTTTGCAACTCTTAAAAAGTTTGAAACATTTTTCTTGACAGTAGAAGTTAACATTTTTCCAAGAATCCAGAATATGCTTTTTTAAACAAGAGATTTTATCTCTTCCATATTCTATTCATGAAACATTTTTCTTTATACTGCTCATTTTCTCAGACTGTTAAGGTTTAAAGTTGGTGATGTTCAGTGTAACAAAATTACTTGGCTATTAAAGAACATATTCATGTAGCGGTATTAAAGGAAAAAAGGAGGAGAGGGACTTTAAAATTGCACACATACTTTAGACAATATTAAGGTAAAAGAAAGAGCAATAACAGACCTATAACCCAGGACTGAAAACACACTATGTGTCATATGATRTAGTGAAAATGTAAGTATTTTAAACCTCCATATGGAATGAATTTCTTAGTATATCTTAATAAACCTGTCTAATTTCTTGGTATACAACACTGTCACCAGATTATGACCTGGTACCTTTTGGCAGATGCTTTGTGGACCTTGACAATTATCACTGCTTTGTTTTTAGCTGGATGCACGTTTGAGACTCGAGTGGCACAGCAGTGCTSTTTCATGGGAGGTGTTTGTGTTTTTGTGTTCTCTAGGGTACTGTGGAGCTGACATCAAAGCACTTTGCACTGAGGCTGCCCTGATTGCCCTGAGACGCCGCTATCCCCAGATTTACATGAGCAGTCAGAAGCTCCAGCTGGACGTGTCCTCGGTCGTTCTGAGTGCCCAGGATTTCTACCATGCAATGCAGAACATCGTGCCTGCTTCCCAACGGGCTGTGACCTCCTCGGGACACGCGCTGTCCCCTGTCATCAGGCCACTCTTGGAACGGACCTTCACCAAGCTCCTCGAGGTCCTACACAAAGTGTTCCCTCATGCTGAATTCAGCCAGGGTGACAAAAGTGAAGGTATGTGCTGTGGGGGTTTCTTGCAAGTGCTGATTCAGTTTTTCAATTTGCAGGTATTTCAGCTGGCTTTCCTCTCCACCTAGCCTTAAATCTGATGTGAATTTGTTTCAGTGTTGTTAGGGTGTAAATACGATTTGTTTGGATGTTGCATAATTATTTTTGCTGATTCCAAGTTGTTCCAAGAATCTAATGACCTGACTTATATAGAGTAAGGTTCCATAGGTGTGAGTGCCATCCACAAAAAGAGCTCACAAGTAATTTACAATTTAAATACAAGAATTGATGGGGCATAATCAAAAGTCAGAAAAAAAAAGGTCAACAAAAAAAAATGTAATGAGACAATGTTGCTGAGTGTATATCGGGTGCTCCTGTCCTGAACATTGGTTAGCTGTCCCAGTCAGTCCTTTGCATGCTGATGGTGCAGAAGCTCYGGGGGGCTCACAGCTCAGCAGGTATTTAGCTGAGATACCTGAGCCTACGTAATGGTCACATGCTGATTTAGAAGAAAGTCCTGTGGCTTTCCTCTCCTTGAACTGGCCTGGTGCACTCCTGATCCTCTGAACTGATTCTGTTGGCTTAGCAAGTGGAGAGCTATTTGCTGTTTTGTCAAGTTAGCTTTTTTTGTCAAATTAGTGAGTAAAATGAACTCACTGAGGGGTCAGTGCATGCCAGAAATGTGCTGCAGTGGGAGCAGTGTGAGTATACCAAAGAATCAGGGAATCAGAAGGAATGTGACTGACTTTTTCAACTGGTAATGAGTCAGTAAATTCTGGGTTTTTTTAGCTGACTCTTCTGAGACATACTTTAATAGTTACCCATGTCATTTCTTGGAAGTTAAATGTTGAACAAGATACTTTGGGTTTGGTATCTGCTTATTCTGATGTAGTCTRCTGTTCTTACCTTGGATCACTGTCACCTCCCAGCTCTGTAAACAGTACTTGGGGTTGTGTGTGATGAACTTGAAAACAGCCCAGTCATAAAGCAAATCTCTGACAGCCGTGACCTTCTTCTCATTCCTGTTCCAGAGCACACTTTCAGCCTGCAGCCCAGGCAGCTTAAGCTGATCCTTGTGCTGGCTGCTGCAGTTCTCCAGCCCAGCTGTGCATTTTTGTTCTCTCCTTTCCACTTGCTTGTATAWCTCAGGCCCTTTGTTAAACTGTTTTAGCCAGGAAACTCATCCAAAAATGGTGTATTTATATGTCTTCTGCTGACTGTGGGGTAGCTGGAGGTTTTAACAAGTGTTGGAGTTGGCCGGAGATGGGCTCTGGGAGCTTGTGCTGGTGGGTTGGGGGAAATGAGCTGGTTGCAGCTGCAGGTGGATCCTATTGGGCTGCCTTAATTGTAACCAAAGTTATTTAAAATGTTTAAGTCTCTGTATACTGTTAACCTGTTCGTAACACCCAATTTAGACATTGTCGTTGTTGAAGAAGTGGTTTAAGTTTAGAATATTTCTTTTGTTACATTTTTTTACATTCCCATTTATTATTGCTCATTACTGCTAACAAATTGAGTTTGGAAGCTGTTGTTGATTCAAATAGTAGTTTTACTAGATAGTTTGCTGCTGTGTGTAGTTTTACATGTTTGTAGATAATTGATTTTGAAGATGCATGAACTAAGGTTTCTTTTAACATTTCCTTACGTTTTTTTCTTACCCCATTAATTTTAAGAAAATATTGAATAACAAGCTTAATCTTTGTTAAAACCTGAAAAATCCACTGTCAGGTACAATGATGATATGTAAAGGTAGATTATACAATAGAGCTTCAAATTTTCTTGAATTCAAAGCCAAGTGTATGGTACATGCTCACAGGTGTGCGTGCAATCTGTGCATGCAAGTTTTCTGCACTTCGCTCAAAATTCTTCTTTCTTGTAATTCAGTGTAATTCAGTGAGTCAGATCTTGATGTTTGGGATTAAAGATGGACTGCCTTTCGAAATAATTATGTCTTTTTGGAAGAGAAAGCTGTGTCCAGTGCATGAGCATGGGACTTACCTATGCCTMCATTTGGTATACAGGAAATCCTGCTTTAGGGACTGCAATGAGCCCAGAGGTAGAAGGCCTGTGTCCAGTTGGTTTGGAGGTCTCCATCCTTAGCTTTATCTAATTATCCAGCAGCTTCTGTGCTGTGTTCTTTTTGTGGACTAGCTTTTGGCCACTGCTTGGGKTCTGCAAGCCTTTTTCATCTTTGCWCCCTGAGGAATGATTGTCAGGTGTGTGACTGCATTGTAACTTGACAAGGGATGTGACACATCCTCATCCCATGCCAGCAGAGTATCATTCCTGCCAAACCTACTCTGAATCCAGTTCCTTACATCTCAGAGGCAGTTAAGGGAGCCTTTGTTGTGTCTTWACCATTTTTCCTGGAACCCTGGTACAACTTTTTCTGTGGCTTAGATGGCACCTCCATTCTACACTTAACACTGCCTGAAAGGTGCTTCCTTTTTCCCCTGGTGACAGTCKGATCAGTGTAGCAGAACCTACCTGTGCCATTGCCTCATATAAATCTGACAAATCATGCAGTGGATTGTGTATTTGAGAATATTCTGGATCTCTCTGTATTTCCCACTTCCATTTCACAGCAGTCTCTTTTCCTAAGTGGCTGTGGCCAACTTGAGTTGCTTTTGGGATATCTGGTGGTTGTCCTGAGCAGCAGTGTGCTGCAGTGACTCTGGGCTGCTCTCAGGAATGCTGCCCATCCTTTGCAGAGCATTTTATTGCTCTGGCCTCTGCAGTGCTCCAGCTGTGCAGCTGAGTGGCTGTGACCAGTTTTATCCCATCATTGCAGTTGGGATTTTTTATCCCATCATTGCAGACTTCCTTCCCTCTATGGRAATGAGTGGCCTTGGCATAGGGCAAAAGGAACTCAGCTCCTTTCCTGGGGCAAACAAAGATCTTGCAGCAGTTCTTTCCCATTATCAAATCACACCAGGTAACTGTTAATCCTGTTGCAGCTCTGGGACCTAATTTACCTGATTTTCAACTGTTACCTGGTTGTTTTGTTTTAAGGCCATGTTAGTATTTTTTGCAGTTGTTTGTCCCTGCAGTGGGTCTTGTGAATATAATCAGTCTTTGAGCTCTTTGTTTTTCAAGGTCTGTATAGAAAATACTTCAGTTTATTGTGCTACTATATTAGCAAAGGAATTAATAGAGGTAAAGATATATTATATGAATATGGAATGCATTTAACTGATTTTGATAAAAAGTAATTTGATATTCCTTGGCAGGTTATCAGAGGGTGGAAAACAATTCATCATAAATATACATAGTCTAGGTAGTCATGCTGAGAATAATTTTGGAAGAAGTGTACCTGTGAGAATTTGGACACTTGGAACAAGCAAATATTACAAAATTCTGTGCAGTCTAAGGAATTAGAAATTTTATAGCTTCATCCTTGAAAAGACCTCTAGCTGTGAAATAACCCAAAGGAAGCATTTCATAACAAGTTAAACTTCTTTGTATTTGAGAAGTTGTTTGCCTTGATTGTTTTAAAAAAACAAATTGTAATTATGATTAGACTTCTACAGTATTTAATTTGTTTTGGTTTTTGAAGTAATAAGTACTTATTATTCTGAAGTCTGATACTTAGACAGTTTTAACTAACTTCTTCTACATTTGAAGATTTGTTATAATTGACACAAAGRAAATTATAATATCTTGTCTTGTTTGTTGTACATGTACTTAGAAGTGATAAAGTTCTAATTAATACATCTCTTGGAACAGATGTACCAAGTCTAATATTAGATGATAGTGAAGACGAGAATGCTTCATCAATTTTTGAGACGAGCTGTCACTCAGGATCACCAAAGAAACAGTCATCAGCTGCTATACATAAACCCTACCTTCATTTTACAATGTGAGTGTTTCTCTAAATGCATGCAACCAGATAAAACCAGGAGATTCTTACATCAGGAGGGCTAAGAAAGTTGTTCTTTTGCTTTGGGGTGGCAGTGGTGTTCTGTAAGGGAATGTGTAAGTGCACAGACGAGTTTTAGATATGGGARTGTTCTTGGGAAAGGCCACATCCCACACACAGTAATCAGAAATGTTTTTCAATAAGCAAATATAGATTAGAAGTAAGGATGTTAGCAGCTGTTCATAATTTTAACAAACTACTTTGATTTGGAAGATTAAGAACTGGGAAGAGATGTTTGCAGGAACATTTCRGAGGAATTGTGTGCTTTATCTTGGTCCAAAGGAAGGTTGAGCTTCAGTGTATGCATCGGTTTGGAAGGATTTTGTAGAATGAATGCATCTAGCATTTCTAATGTGCTTTTTTCATTGTTTTTCATGGAAATTTTCAGGAAAATGGAAATTTAGAAAATATGTGTGAAATTTGGATGAATGTTTTCTGTATAAATTGGATTGGCTACAGTAACTAATAATTAATATTTCTTGGGTTCAAGTTAAGAATAGTTTTAGACTACTTTATATGGTGGTTTCTGCTGGGAGTTTGCTGAATGAAGAAAATGAAGTTAGAAAAAACTGTTCATTAGTGGTACTGTTTAGTAGAGCCATCTTGTGGAAAACTGCTAAAATTTTTGTGCTGAGTCGTAATACCAGAACAGAATTGATGGATATTTAAGTTTAAAAATAAGAATTTTAAGTTCAAATAGTTGGAAGGACATAGTTAAGTATTCTAATGCCAAATTTAAGCTTTTTTTGTGAGGTTGGGAATGGGGAAGCGAAACCCAAAACCACAATATATATTTGTGTAGATGTGTGTCTAAATAAAAGAATCTCAAGACTGTTTATTTTTGCAAAGTATGTAAGCCTCCCTTAGTCTGTTTTCTGAGCATTTTTGATGGTTATCCATGTGTGTAACCACCACCACCAGCAGAACTGAAAGCCAAAGGTCAGCAATGTTCATTGCTGTCCTAAAATGTTTAATATGAAGTAATACCAGCAAGTCTTGTTCCACTGTCTAAGTTCACTGATGGGCAGATAGAAATGCCTTAATTAGAGAAAATGCAAATTAATAAAAAACTTTCTTTTTTCATAATCAGTTTTCTATAAATGGAGAATACTTTTATTGGAAAAACCAAATGCTTTTTCCTTTGGGTTTCATTTGTCCATAAAAGTGGGTAAAAACTCCCAAAAGAAAGAAAGAAAGAAACACAAGGTTCCAAATGCCCTAGAATGGACTGCTTAGAGTTTGTTCTTGACAACAAAAAAGCAAAAAGGAAATTTGCCTTTGCAGTTCTTCTTTAAAGCCTTCCTTCTGTCTAGAARTCTACTGAATAGAAGTGTACAAATGCTCTACAATACATAATGCATAGTGATTTCCTTCAACATTGCTTCAGGTCCTRTTTCTTAAATAAGTAAATTATTAAAATGTTCAGTGGTTCCTGGGCAATCTTGGGCAGCGCTAGAGGGATGAAAGGATTGGTCTGGGAATCCTCAGGCTACTGAAGAGATGTGTTGGTAGTAAGGACTGAACTAGACATGATTAAATTGCTGTCTGTACTGGATGTCCAGCAAGTCTTTTTATATGCTCAAGGAATTAGTTTTRAATAAACTGGTTATTGTGAAAATTGTCATGAATTTAATGTATGTATAGCTTCACACAGATGAGTTTGAATTAAATGGTTGTGAAACCAAAGATAAGACAAATCATGAATTATTGACATCTGAGGTAGTGTTGAGGGATAGTCGAGTTAGTTGAATCTTTTTAGGCTGTTGTAGGAAGCTCTTACCCATTACTCAAAGTCTTACAGATAGTAAAATATCTCCTGTGTGTCCATCCATTGATAACATTGGCATGTTAATTGACTTTTCTAACTGTTCTGTTGCAGGTCAGCTTATCACCAGCCAACCTCTTACAGACCGAGATTACTGCTCTGTGGGGAAAGAGGTTCGGGTCAGACTTCRCACCTTGCTCCAGCACTATTGCACACCCTGGAAAAATTCTCCGTACACAGGCTCGACCTGCCAGCTCTTTATTCAGTCAGTGCCAAAACGCCTGAAGAGTCATGTGCACAGGTGACATTTYARATTCCCTTGTAATGAGTCAATTATGTGTTTCTGGTTGCATTAACATAAAGGCAGCCAGCTGGAATGTAACTTAAAATCCAGGTTTTCACAGGCTCCTTCTATTTTCGTGTTTAAAATAAAGATGTCTCTAGAGGGTGATGGAGATCTCTCCAGTGTCTGGTGAATGTAATTACATTTTAACCTGCCCCCTCATCACATACCTAGTGCTAAGTAAGTTTAATCTAGGTATTCAGTGCCTGAACRTTCATTTTATTCACTTGTGTATGGATTGGTGTGCTGTGGTTCTAGGTTCATTTGCTTAGTTTAAAATGTTTTACATTTTGGAATAGCTTGTGGTGAATATTGCATGGGTTGCAAAACAGTTTAATTTTCATCTTGATTGTTCAGTCATAGCAAGTTTTTAAAACATACATATTTTTAAAACAAAATAGTTTCTTTGTAGTCTCCCTGGCACATTGACATAAAATAATTGAATGCTGTAGCTAAGAGTCACAAACACTTGTTTAGAATATCTTTAGATAATTCTATTCTGCTGGAACATTTGTCTGTATATTCTATTCTGCTGGAACATTTGTCTGTAAAATACCACAAACATGAATCATTTTCTAATGCACAAGAACTTTGTTACTCATAGCTGATGGTGACAATTAGTTCTTTAGTTTAAATATCACTGTTTCTTTTAATTAGATCTTTCGTGAAGCTCGAAGAACAGTACCAAGTATAGTTTACATGCCTCATATTGGTGATTGGTGGGATGCTGTCAGTGAAACTGTGAGAGCCACTTTCCTAACTTTGCTGCAAGATATACCATCTTTCTCACCCATATTTCTACTGTCTACCTCTGAGTCCATGTTTAGTGAATTGCCTGAAGAGGTAAGTTTATCATGGAAGGAGGCCTTGTTAGGGAGTTCTGTGCTCTTCTGAATGTTCTAATCAYRTAAAATAATTTTGTTTTGTAGTGGTTTTCTAACTTAATTTAAAATATGTCAAACAGAAAATGTGATAATAATTAAATGTTAATAATTTTCCTTAATGAGGGATATATGTCCAYATTACAGATTTTCATAAGCTCCATGTTACTCTACTGAGGAAAAAAAAAATTACTAATTTTTTCAATTGTTCTTTTTGACAAATGACTCCATTATAATTAAATGCAGATTTAGTCTAAAGGCCTGACTTTGAGCTTTACATTTTCTGAAGCTCAGATGGGGGAGGGTTCCTGGTTTTTCTTCTCAACATTTTCTTCGGTTTTTTTTTTCTCCTGCCCTTTTACTGCTTTTTACTACAGGGGTTGTCATTGCTAGGATCATGGGATACCACAAGTTTAGTTACTATAGAAAATTCAGTGAGAATTACAAGTATTTGTTTTCCCTTTGCTGTGAAAACAGCTTTAGGTAGAGTTTACTCTCTCCTGTCCTGTGACTGGTTTTGAAAATTTCATGACTTGTTTTACAATATGGTCGTTGTACAGCAATACAGTATGTATGTTTACAATATGTCTTTTTCAGTGGGGGGCTCGATTTTCTTATGTCTTTTTTTTTTCTTTTTTAGGTGAAATGTATTTTCAGAATCCAGTATGAAGAGGTTTTTTATATTCAAAGACCAAGTGAAGAAGACAGATTGCGATTTTTCAAAGGCTTAATTCTTGATGAGGCAGCAATGCCCCCACCAAGAAGGAAACAGGCTGGTAAACTAAGTTACAGTAAAACCAATAATAATGTGATCCTAATGTTTGATTTTTTGTTATTTTCCTTTTTCGAAAGGCTTGGGTAGTTAACAGTCAGTGTAATTACCATATGACAGCATTAATCAGTGCCCAGAATAAATTTCATAGTTACAGTTAACAGTTGTGGAAGATGGAAAGCTGTGGGGTCAGGAATGCAGTGATAGATCCATGATGCATATTAAATACATGCAATGAAATTTGGAGTGGCATAATCCCGAGAGCCCCTGTGTTGTTAATATTTCCATTGTCTGACTTCTTGTTTTTTTCCCTAGCTCTTCGTGCCCTGGAAGTTCTTCCTCTTGCACTGCCGTGTCCYGCCCGGGAGCTGTCGGAAGCGGAGAAGCAGCGGATGGAGGATCAGGAGGAGAACACCCTGCGGGAGCTGCGCTTGTTTCTCAGGGATGTCACCAAGAGGCTGGCCACAGACAAACGCTTTAACATCTTCAGCAAACCGGTGGATATTGAAGAGGTCTTGTTTCAGTAATGTGCAAACAATGAAGTTGAAARTAGTAGAAAAAGAATGCAAATTTAAAAAAAAGAAATGGTTAAGCTAATCAGAAGAATAGACTTCCGATTCACGATTTTTCCAATTTAAGGTGCTGATTTTTAGCTGGTGATAAAGCCACAGCCTCATCGTCCATGATGCAAGGATTTGGAGCATGTTCTGTTACCAGTGACCCTTGTGCATTCCTATACATTTTAAAACTGAAACCAGCATTTTAAAATGCCAGCACTCCTATCCCTGCCCGTGCTCCTGAAATATGTGAAACCATAAATACAATTCTTTAATAAAAGCATTTGCAGCATTGTAATCATAAATATGATAATATTGGGAAAGTGATCTGTGTTCTGTAATGCATTCAGCATTAATAGTATTGTTGCATAATGTCAGCAGCAATGCTTGTGGTTGCCATTAATCACAAATGGTAGCACATTATAAGGCATTAACTGGTCGATTATGGACTGTACACACCTAACTGATGAGACAGTTCGATCTGCAAATCTATTTTCAGGTGCTGCTGTATGAATGGGATTGTGTTTGGTCTGACATTGAGATCAGATGCTGGCCCCCTGCAAGCATTGCAGGCTTGCTAACTGGAAAAAAAAAAAATCCCTAATAGCTTCTGAAAAGAGAAGCATCTCATTTGGAAGATATGGAAATATGAATATGGGACATCAGAAGTGCAGCACTGTAAAAAGCAGCTTTGGAGGGTAAATTCCTTGCATGATGGAACAGGCATCTTTTATGGGCTGGTGCAGTCCTCTCTTAATTTGAGCTTTCCATAGTGTTCCGTAACTGGCTGTTTTTGAAAGCCCAGTGAGGCACTTAATGTGGCAACCTACAGTGTGAGCATGGTCTGAGCAGTAACTTGCTTTGATTTTTCTTGTGAAACTGTTTGGGAGGCCCATTATTGTAGGAAACACTTCATACCTGGGAAGGTAGTTCCTTTCTGTCAAGAATTTGAAGTCTAAACTTACATAAATAAGGGCACATAGAGAAAGAACAAGTAACTGTCCATGTTTTGTAGATGGAGAGAATCTAAATATGAATTTGTTATTTGAAGACTTACCAAAACCCTGCTAATATATCACAGCAGCAGAAATCAAATGTAATCCTTTTCATCCCACCTGCTGCATTTAAGCACAGGACTAGCCTTTTCTACAGCAGCCTCTGCTTGACTTCCTTAGAAAATGTGTCAGGCTTGTTCCACTCCTATTTGCATTGCAGAGAATGCTGCTGTGTGGTAAGTCAAGGATTTTCCTGACTAAATCAGCAGCAATATTTACAACTTCCAGTGAAGGTTTTCTGATGCTGTTTTCTGGTGCTAACAAGAAAAGGAAGCTTGTGGCTTGGTTTTCCAGTCCCTGAACCAGATACATCATGTTTCCATAAAGGGAGACAAAAAGAGATTTTTTTTCACCATTTTAATTTGTCAAAATATATTTCAGTGTCTTTATTTAAGGAATTAGGTGACACATTGCTGTCCACTGAAGTAATACATTAATTTTAGTTTATGTTGTAATATATGTCTGCAGGCACTATATTAAAAAAAAAAATTCTAGAGCCATTGTGGCTTGATCTGAATATGTATTTAACTCTTAACTGCTTTGGCAGTGACCATCATATGTGGGTGATTTTAAAAGAAAAAAATGTGATGCTGTTTTAAAGGCTGCCTAATCTAAATCACACTGAAACATTCAAATATATATTTTTTTCCTTAAAATAACAAATCCATGGGTTCTTTTGGTGAACTTTGTTACAACAGCTGTGCTGATTCATTGGACTATTAAGCCTGAGACCCTTATGATATYGTTAATTATGTTAAACACTTTCTAGTATGTCATGGTGGTTGCTGAATCTCCAGTTACTATCTAACTTGTAGTAAACTGTGACACAAGGCTTTTTCTTTGTATTGTCCTTCTGTACAGCCAGTGTAACATCTGCAGTCAGTAAAACCTGACTTTTATTTGTTTAACAAGAAACTGTTTAATGGAAGGCATTTACAAACTGATAATTTGGCTGTTTAGTTGGATGAGAACTTTACCTACAAAATGAACAAAATAGAGCTTCCGTAATTTTTCCTAGGGCTTCAAGTTAAGCTGATGGTTTTTGCCTTTTTAGTACATTACAGTGTTACAGCACCATAAAAATCTGTAACTAAATCAGTCTAAAATGAAAAATACATTTGCATCRAAGTGTATTGCCTGAAAAATAGTGTTTAATTAATTTTGAAAGATAAATTGGTGAGCTCCTGAAGAAAAAGYAGCTTTGTTTAGCCTGATAAAATTTCCATTTTTAACATAAATTTGCTCAGCAATCAAAATGTTCAGGTAATGTCTTAGAGYTAAGCATGTGGAATGCATCCAAGTATAAAGATGTGATTGTCAGTGTTCAGTGAGAATTCATATGGTCCTGTGTCATTTCTGTGTGCTGTTTGTTTATAGGTTTCAGATTACCTTGAGGTTATCAAAGAGCCAATGGACCTATCAACAGTAATAACCAAAATTGATAAACACAACTACTTAACAGCCAAGGATTTTCTAACAGACATTGACCTGATYTGCAGCAATGCATTGGAGTACAATCCAGACAAAGATCCTGGAGGTAAGAACCTACTGCTTTTTGGTCTCCCTAGACCTGAAAGCCTGGTATTTGATGCTGTATTTTGTTTCTATTCAGGCACTTAGATAAGCTTCATGCTTTGTGATAATTAGGATAAGCAAGTCCTAAGGGTCTGTGCTTTTAGTATTGTGGGGCATGTGGTGCACTGRGGGACTTTATAAGAGCAGGAAAACTACAGCATTCAGAGCTGTTTTCTAATAAATTATGTTTTGTAGTTCCTTTTCAACTTTGATAGTTCCTTTTCAGGGAATAGGCTCTGCATATGCACCAAAAGCCCACCGTAATTTGGAGGGCTCTGTAGAGAATCCTGCACACAATCTGGCAGTGGCCTGCTGTAGTTTCACGTTAGCTTAGAACATGAAATTCGTACACAAAAATTAAAATCTATGTATTTGGAGATAGAAATAAAACAGGATAAATCACCAGGCAAGGAAGTCAGTTGCAGCTGATTAGGAGAGATTAGAGAGTATTGTCTTKACAAAGTGTGATGGGATGCTTTCAATTAAAAAGGAATTTGTAGACTGAAATGCATGTAAAAGCTGTTCACGCTCCAAACTAAGGAAAGAACATCTTGTGTGCTCTTTGCTTGGGCTGTCTTACAGTGCACAGTGCCAAAATAAAGCCTTTCAGCTGGCAGCTTCGAGAGTCATCCATAAAGCAACAACAAAGCACCCTTTTAATGTAGGGTTGTATTATATATATGTGGTACTTGGACATCAGGGTCCATCTATAGTGTGTTAAAAAGCTTTTCATGACATCTTGTGAAATTGTTTTACCAGTTTAAAGCCTGATTTTTCTGTATTTTATTTTATCAAATTTTTGATTTTCTGAGGCATTTGCAGGTATCTCTTGTGTGGACTAGATACAATATAGTCTTGCTACTTGTTTCACATTGCCTTTTGAGCCCAGTATTGGTTCTTATTTGTAGATTAGCCTTTTCTTCTGTTTGTGATGCATTATTTTCTTTGAACTAAAAAAGTACTTTGTGTTCCTGGTGACATAATTTTGAGGTCTTGTAATGTATAATTGCTGTGARCTAATGAAAGCCCTTGATGGGCACTTGGCATTCTGGGTGTATCTGAAGAGTGCCTGTTTAGGGATATTTTGATTTTCCTTGCTTCAGAACTGAGCTGGGAGAAATTGATCTGKCTCTTTCTAGGCTCAGTTTTGGATGGGAGTTAATGAAAAATTGTTCTGTCCTCTGCTGTTAACAACAGAGCATGTATTGCTTTTCTAACATGCAGGATTTCTTGGGCTGTTGTGTGAACACACCTGAAACAGCATGTTATGGCTGTTCAGAGGAAGCATTCTATGCATTCAGATGCATTCATTAACTGAATATTAACCTACAAATGTTCACATTCTTAAAGGCTGGGCACATATGCTTGTCTCTGCTTCATGCTTGAATTTGCAGAGCACCCAATACCTGCTTCTGTTCTGTTGTTAAGTTGGAAGAGCAATGGGAGGACCAGAGTAGCTGATTTTATCTGCAGTCTGGATATCAAAAWCTGGCTGCTTTGTTTTKTTTTTTTCCCCTKGTACTTTGCTGTAAAATTTCGGACAGGTTCTGTATGAGACAGGTTGGGGTTTYCTCCCTCCATTGTTTGACTGGGAAATGTTCTTGAAGGAAACATAACCATTGTATGTTGGACATGAGTGTTTGCTTCTTTGAAGCACTGTCTGGGGGAAAGCCTTTCCCAGCACAGGATTAGAGGAAAGTAGTGGTTTAATCAAACACCCTGAATTGATTTTTTTTTTTTCCTCTCCCCTCCACTCCCTTCCTCCTTTGCAATGGTTCCTTAAACTTTATTATCGGGCCAAAACTTTGAAGTTTAATATYTCAAAATTACATCTGAAACAAATGCAGTATGTCTTTTTTGGTGATCATAAAACATAATGCTTCAGAAATATGTGGGCAAAAACTTCCAACTTGCAGTAGATTTAGTGGGCAGTAGTTTTCCCAAGTAAACGTAAGGCTCTTTTGAGTCTCTTTCATTTAGCAGCTTTTCCAGCTGTAAAATTTGCTGTTCCTGAAACTACAAATATTGCAAAGTAAATATTCAGTGATATTCTTAAGGATTGTTAAAACATTACATCTGCTACTTGTATAGTATGTTTTAGAAATTAATGTTGATGGTTAYTGTTGAAGTACCTCCATCAGCTGGAAAAAGTAATTCAATAGGGATGGATTGACACATTAAATATGTTTGTACTGAAGTCAAGCAATGAATGTTGTAGGTTTCATTGAAAAACAACATTCTAGATGTCAATTTTCTCCACATATGGGCTTACTTATTAAGTATGATTACTTTTGATTACTTYTCAAATTTCAAAAGTGGAATAATTCCTTTTGTGTGTTTCAAAGGTAGGGGGAACTGGTCTGTTTTTTCATGAGTTGCATTTAGGCTTTCTAGCATGGGCAGTTTGTCCTGTTCCCCAAATAGGCCTGAAAATGTAGCATACTCGAGGCTTGTTTCTTGCCAGTTTTTTTTTTAAATGGATTAAAATGAGAACAGCTATTTAATGTAAAGAATTAAATAATGTCTCATAGCAAAGTTTTGATCAGTTGCTAAGTAATAATCAAGCAATAATTGGAGGTTAAAGGAAAAAACAGGGAAGGGACGTAAGTGAGCCAGGTCTACCTCACAGATCCAGGTGRTGTCCAGTGTGATTTTGCAGGCAGTATAACTGTGAATATTCCTGGACCCCAGTGGGTAAATTAATTCCTGGACAAGTTTTGTTTCTTTGAGACTCTTTGCACTCCATTAGAATGTGTAGATCTGCCTGTGGGAACTGGCTATATCTGATGGCAGGTTGATTGAGGTGTGTTCATSATTCACTGTTTGCATTTGTTTATAGATGCCACTATGGATTAAAGTAACAATTTATACTTCTGAAAACTGTATCTCTTCAATACCTGGGTGTGATTTTTGAGTGTGCTGTGGTATTGATTCACYTGCATTTCCATACGTCTGTACTTTTCCCCAGTTACTTCTATTTGTATAAGTTTTGTAATATACAATACAATCCAACATAGAAATGCTAAAGAAATTTTTGTAATTTTGATAAAGTGTGCTGTCCTGTTTTCTAGATAAAATAATTAGACATAGAGCATGTACTTTGAAGGACACTGCTCATGCTATCATTGCTGCTGAACTGGATCCAGAATTCAATAAGATGTGTGAAGAAATCAAGGAAGCAAGAAGAAAAAGAGGTATGTTTAACTTCAGTTATCGTAACACAACCTGTATAGAGGCCCTCTTTAGACAGGTAGGAATGGTCTCATCTCCACAAGCTCTGGACCYTATGGGGGACTTCAACCACCCCAGTCCATACTGAAGGGATAATACAGCAGGGCAGAAGCAATAGAGGAGCTTTCTAGAATGTGTAGGGGATAACTTCCTTCTCCACATCATAGAGGAGCTACCAAGGAAAGGACCTTGTTCTCACCAGCAAGGAGAGGCTGCTGGGGAATGTGAAGCTCAAAGGCAGCTGGGCTGCAGTGACCATGGTGTGTGGGGTTTGGGATCTTAGGGCAGCAAAGAGGGTGCACAGTAAAGCTCCAGCACCTTGGTCTGCAGGAGAGCAGACTTCAGCCTGTTGAGGGATCTGCTTGGTAGAGTCCCATGGGATGAAGCCCTGGAGGGAAGAGGGGCCCAGGAGAGCTGGTTAAYACTGAAGGATCACCTCCTCCAAACTCAGGAGCGGTGTTTGCCAACAAAGAGGAAGTTATGCAAACACATCAGGAGGCCTGGGAGGAATACAGAGAAACTGAGCAGCCAGGGATCAGRTKAAGAAAGYTAAAGYTCTGAGAGAATYAAACCTGGCCAGGGACATCAAGAGCAAGAAGAAAAGCTTCTGTAGATAWATGGGATAGAATTTACAGCTCTCTGTATAAAAATTTAAATTTAAGATGAAATMCAGGATGCATGTCAGATTAAGAAARTGCAGATGAAAAGGGTGACTGAGCTTGAAACTTTTCTACTTTTTCCTGYTGTGTGAGCTGATGAGACACTGTCATTCTTTCCAGAATAAGGATGCATTCATTGCCTACTATTACAGGCAGTATTATAGAACCTGGTGAGTAGGTAGATGTTAGAGTTGCTGCATTTACATCTTTTACATGTGGATGTGTTGGAACCAGAGCTGTGTTCTGAAACTGCCTGTAATACAGTATAATAAGAATTATGATAAGGGAGAACAGCATTTAAACCACTGGATTTTCAGTTCRCCCTGGCATGTGTACAAATGTAGTTTTGGAGATAGATAATAAATTGATCTTTCTGATTAAGAAACAGCCTTTACATCCACATTGAAGGCAGCACGATGTTGACAGTCTTAACAGCCCAGAATTAGGAAATATAGCTCCCTACTGAATTAATGCAGTTGTTTTCAACTTGTAGTCTACAGATGTACAAGTCTGTTTACAGCTTCTGAAGTGACCAGGGAAGGTTATCAAAAGTCCAAACATATTCCCGGTGTGGGAACAGTTCTCTGTTTACATCAAAAGAGTCTACCTCCGTGGAAAAGTTTAAAAGTTTTGAAAGTTGAAAAAGGTTGAAAATCACTGAACTGTAACATTAGAACAAAATTGCATGCTGATTTAGGGATTACTGATTTCAATAATTCCAGCTTTACCTTGGCAAGTTATTTCCTGCTTTGTCTCCTTCTTTGGTATAAAGCTCCATTATTTGATTTCTAGGTTGAATTGGCTGGTCTTACCTTTCAGCTGCTGATTCTTGAAATACTTCTGTTGGTAGATTGAAGACCCTTTATTAACAAATTTCTTTGAACTATGCAAGTATCTATAGGCTTTCTYTTCTTCAGGTTAAAATGGATACAATTCTTTTTATTTTCCTATTCAGTCATGCATGTTTTTGTCTAATTTTGTGCAAGCTTCCAATGTGTGTCTTGAATTGTGGATAAATGAACCAATTGTAATTCCCTGTGGCTGTAAAACATAGCTGATATAATGCCTTCATTTCTCCTCTGTACTTTCCTATTAGAACTATGAGAATATTCACAATTCTGGCCACAGTGTCATGCTGTGAGCTGTGCTCAGTTAATTATCCAAGTCCCCATGACTGTTAAAGGTTATTGCTTCCGAGGTTAAAGTAAATGTTTGTAAGAGCTCTTTGTTACAGAGAATGATTCTATAGCTTGTGTCCTTTCTTGCAAGTTTGCAAGAACTGGAATGCTGCCCTCCTTTYTGTGGCAGTGGCCCAGTAATAGATATTTCTGGGGACAAAACCTACAGACTCTGTTGAAAGAAGGACAGTGTCTTTAGTTATAATTAAGGCTGATGGCATCATGCAATGAACTTGTAAAATCAGAAAAAGCATGTGTCAATGGTGTGAGATGATGGTTTGTGGGCCTTTGGGTACAGGTGCSTGATGAGCAGTGCCAGTTGTTTGTGGGAGAAAACAGCTCACAGACAGGAATGGAAAGGATTCMAAGTGGATTTAGTACACTGGCATGGAAATTGTTACAGTGTCACAGGTACCTGCAGGTGGCACTTGAGGATGCCTGTGCTTCTGGACCACACTTGGGCTCTGCAGTTGGTGCAGCTGTGGAATGTGAAGTCTAAGATCACTTATTGGGTTAACAAGGAATGCTAACCAAAAGACTGGGAATGCATGGAACAAGCTGTGTTAGATGATCTGTTTATGAACAGAGGAAAATACATCAAGCTCTTGAGGTCTGAGCAACCCTCATGCTGGAAGGCAAGCACAAGGGATCAGGAATCMTGTCAAAGATTGTGGTGGTGCAGAGCAGCTGAATGGTAACACTTCAGGAATGTTATATGGCACTGATCATTGTAATGGATGGAAGGGATGTGAATGCTGATCAGCTCTGCCATTATTCCCATTTTGCTCTAGAAAATATCCTCAGCAAAGCAGCAGATCAGGACAATCACAGTGCATCTGCTAGTCTAGACTTCAACATGTACCCTGTTTCAGAGCAGTTTGAGCAAGGGATGAAACGGGCTAAAAAGCTCCATATCCATTTTCTTCACAATTTTGTTGGCAAATTATTTAGCAATCTTAGGTAGTTGTAAAATGGGAGGTATTTTCTACATGGCTTTTYCCCCCACAACTTTCCTGCTGGTTTKGGGGGTTTGGTTGTGGTTTTTTTTCTTGTTGGTTTGGTTTTTTTTTGCACACATCTGCCATTTTTACYGAGTGCTGTGATTGGTGAGTGGTTTAAAAAGTATTGCAATATAACAGAAAGATAAATTGTACCATAAAATCAGTATGTAGAAGTCAAACTGGATTTTCTTGTTCCTGTATTACTGAAATGAGGTGCTGTTGTTGAAAGATGTTAAACCTAGGGAAAGTGAGTTTTAAATTGGTAATTTAAGAACTCTCTATGCTAAATTATTGAAATTTGCAACKTCTCATAGAGACAAGCAAATAAAAAGTTAGAAGTGATGTTGTTTTGAGGAATGAAATGTTTGATGTACAGTTTGAAATATTTATCATAGTGCCTAGAAACCTACTCTGTAATTATAAATTGTGAGATGAGAGTTTATGTGTGAATCTTTTAATTCCTGCATCCATTGGTTTTGGAGTTTCTTGTCAGCTCTTGATCACTTGGCTCCRGTTTCTATTGAAGACATGGTATGACATTTTGAAGACCATTTAAGTGGATGGATAGGAAATTGTGGTTCACAAATATGAAACTTCAGATATTCAATTATGTCTTTAAAATGTGCTTAACCAATATGAAAGTTTGCCTTTTTAGAATTTAATTAAAAAACCTGGGAAGCAGTAGAAGCTATGAGATGAAGTTATATTACAGAAAGCAAACCATACTTTTTGTTAAAAGCAGAATTGCATTTTCTTAATTTAGGAGCTCATATTGACTCTGAAATGGATCCATTTTRCATAGCATAGATCACAGTGACAATACAAGGTTCTTATTCAGATATTCTTTTTGATATGGCATACAATGCCTTTATGAATTGCCACTTATTTTAAATTATCTGTTTAAAATAAGGAGAAATTGAAATGGTCAGTAAGAATTCACTTGTGGAGGAAAAATGGAAAGAAGAGTCAATCTTTAGGGACCCAAGTTTGAGAAACAGTGACCTTTTTCCAGCCCATCAGAGCTGACAGTTTAAGACTATACARCCAATAAGTTGTTTTTGTCAATAGAAAGCAAATATTCTTGATTCATATCTTTGTTTCCAATGTCCAGCTAAATATTAATGGAWGTATTCCTGTTGCAGTATGGTGTTCCAAGTTTCTTCTTTGATTCAGTAGTTTCCTGCAGCTTGGTTTATTTAAATAGGTATGGTTGTCTTTTGCATGCAGGCTTATCAGTGCCAGCAGAGCAGGTAAATCCTCATGGTTCCACTGTACGGAAAACAGAAGCYCRAGTTGAAGAAGCATTTCGGAACAARCAAAAACCCACCATGGCTGTGTGGCCCAACTCTGCAAATAAATGTGCTTGTAAGTATTTTGGGTGATAATTGCACAAAATTTGAKGTCCCTTCAATGGCAGACATTTGAAAATGTGTCTCTACTGCTGCTTAGTGATTATTTCCAGAAGTAATTTTAGGCATGAAATGCATGGAACTGAGAAATACTCCTTTTATGARTACATAAAATCTCTGTCCAAGAAGTTGTAAGGAAGCAGGATTTCTGGTTTTATGATATAAATATTTTTCTAATGCAATATGAGTATTTTTCCTTTTTCACTGTAAAAGACTATTTTCAGTATAAGACAGCTCAGATCCAGTAAGAACATTTTTTGTGGTTTGATGAGTTTTCAGGTTTGTTTACTCTCTGTATTTTCAGGTAAATACCTCTGTACTGCTTAATACTCTCTCACATGYGCTGCAATAAATTCCTCCCTTCAATACATTCAGTGTCATGCTGAAAGCTGGAAAGGAGATTGCTAATTTAATTTATGCCAATGGTTTTTAATAGTCAGTAACCATTACAGGAGGATGTTAAGMTACACTTTCTGGAGCCTACTGAATTCATCCAGTTAAGTGATCAAAATCTCTAGGATTGTGAGGTGTGACTGGGTAATTGAGGCGCTGCTAATTATTTTCAAGAGGTGCATTGTTTAGAGCAGGTAAATACATAACAGATATTTTCCTGATAAAGAAAATAAAGATTATAAGAGAAAGTGAGTATAAAGGATATGCTGATAGTTGTGCCATCTTTCCTGCTGAAGATCTGGAGTCCATTATTAATATATTATTAGTAGCATTAACAATTACTGCTGATTGATGGCCAACTGGTAGATTGAAGTGGATAAATTTTCATTTYGGTCTTTGTGCTCTCCTTCATGGTGCTGTTCCTTGATGAGAAATCGTTTTCTAGGCATGGTGATAACTGCCCAGATATGAACATTGTTTATATATGAATGATAGTGTTGATGTCAAATGGTTTAATTAATTAGAGGTATATGATTTTATTTCCCGAAGCTGTAATTTCTTCCGTTAAAGGAATTAAAGTCAATCGTACRGAATTACAGTTAGAATAAATTGTTATATAATAAATTGATGATGTGGATCCAAGCTGTTCTTTATTCATTTGGCAGCTCATGCAAAAACAGAGGGAGGGAAGGGATTCCCAATTTATTTTTTACAATTTCCTGTGAAGTCCAGGATGGAGATTCTCCCTCTGGCTGATCCCCAGAGCACTTTGTTGGCTGTGCATGCTGTGCAGCAGATGGGGTTTAGAGCCCTCCAAGCTGGACATCCCTTGGGAAAGGAGAAAGCAGCCATTGCAGGTGACTTGGACCCAAAGCAGCTCCGGTACCTTTCTCGATTCCCCTCTGTTGTGGAGGTGGCAGCAGTTGTTTGAAAACAGGAGCCATCAGCTGTGGGAAATTGCAAGTGTCTCTGTGCAAACAACAAAGTTACAGTTAAGGCACTGATCCTGTGGTATTCTCGTGATCCAGCTTGGAAGCCAAGAAAATTTGAGGCTTAGTGGTGTTTGGGACTACGATCAAATGAAAATCTGCCTTTTAAGGCTGAGTCTGGGAAAGGTAAATGTGATGCATCTGGTAATCAAGAGAGAGAACCAGGAACTGATGAGCAATCAGAAATCTGCAGAAGGAATTCAAGTAGTACATGGATGCTCTTGAAGATTGATGTGGTCAGTTCAGCAGGCACTGGAAATTGGGAAGAGAAACTGTCTTAAAAGGGTACTTTGGAGGATAAGCTAGGGAAGGGTGAGAGTAGAACTGAGCATATTGTGGGGAGCTCAAATAGCAGCAAATGAAACTGTGGATTGTGATTGTTTAARTGGAAGAAGTAAGTTTAGAGAAGGGATTTCTGAAGAGGGGTTGTTTTAGAGGGAAAGTGGAATTTTTTTTATGGTCCACAATTCATTTTTTTTTTTTAAGTCTAATGTGTTGCACAGAGTAACAATAAAAATTATTGAAGTACTTTAATTAAACAGGATAAAACTGTACTTTTCAATTAGTAATTCTGAAAATATTGCATGTTTTCTGCTCTTTGAACTTGAATTATTTTTCCCCTTAGAGGAATCTAAAGCAAAAATAACCAATCCTAACATTATTTTCGTGATCAGTTATTACTATTTTTAGGAGCTTTGCCTTACCAGATTGTAGGAAATCGCTGCAAAAAGGCTAATTCAGATGTCAAACCTGAGAACTCTAAAAGAAATTATTGTCCAGTATCTTCTCTAAAAACAGAGTGGACTGCAGACAATGCAGCAGCCTTGTGAAATGTAAGGCCCTGCTCAGGGCTAGTACAGTAGAAAATGAGAGCTGGATTATTATATGCTGGTTTGTTTTCTGAGGTTATATATTTTATATAAAACTTTYTTAGCTTTTTAGTTACCTATTATTTTGTGATTTATTTCATTTTTCTAATGTATTTGAACTATATTCTTAATTTGATTAGATCAGATGGGCTGTTGGACATGTGGCACATAAATAATTTTTGTGTTTGAAGGCATGGTGATACACATTCCTGAGTTACATTTCATCTGCAACTTGCATTTCCCTTGTTGAAGGTACAGCTGTGTGGGTCATGTCTCACAGTATAGATGAGTTTTAAAAATATTGCTTCATAGGAATTGCTGAAAATCTATTTGGGCAAGTTCTGCCACAATTTAAAATTTATTTCCATTATCGACTGTGTATTTTGAGAAAAGTGCAAGTATTCTGGTGGGAACTTGAAATGGGACATATGTCAGAAGTCTGATATAAGCAGTTTTATGATTATAGAATCACCAAWTTACAGTGGTTGGAGGGAACCTCTGGAGATCTTCTAGTCTAGCTCCCCTCAGAGCTGGTTGCTCAAGGCTTTGTCCAATTGTGTTCTGAACATCTCCAAGAATGGAGGCTCTGTGTCATGCCTGGGGAACCTCTTGTAGTGCTTGGCCACCAACAATRATTTCTTTTTCTTAATTTTGAGTATCTTCATTTCAGTCGGTGCCCATTGCCTCTTGTCCCTGGGCACTGCTGAGGAGTCTCATTTTCCTTTGTGTGGAGTTGTGTGAAAAAGCAAACTACCAGCAGTGTGAAGTTTGCTGTGTTTGCTAAATTAAGTTGTTCAGATRTATGTTAGCTTAGAAAGCATTAGCATCTCTTTAATCATTGGGATTTTGTATGATTAAACTGTATCCAACTGCTCCATTTTGCCAGTAGATGGGGCATGTTACATACTATTTTACTGTCTTGCACTTGCTTCCTTTAGTGTTGCCTATAAATAAACTCTACAGGGAAGATTTAGCTTTGCATTCTTATCTTTTTTTTGCAGCATTTAATGATAATATATTGTAGTGATAGACTGCAGATTTTATGTTTTCTTCATAGAGAAGATGTCTTTTATGCCATATGATAAATAGCATAGCTGTGAAAATGGCATTTGGAGCAAATAAAGAAAATTTAAATCCTTTGTGTTATGCAAACTATTAAAAATATAAGTTTTATATAAAAGTCATTTTATGAAATATGAAGTAAGCACACTGCTAACTTTTCCCAATAATTTAAGTGATTAGTGGTCTCTGTGGAAGGAATTGTAGGGAGACTAAGGAAGGATCTAAAGAACTGTTACACAAAATGTAGTTTCTAAATAAATACCRTTTTYTGCACSTTTTGTGTTRGATTTTTTTGGCTGATTGGTTTTTWGTTAGCTTTTTTCCCCCTTAAATGGTGGTTTTTGCTGTCCARTGAAACATTTATCATGGAAAGGCTTTTGTTTTGTCTACAGTACTTCTAAAAAAGATTTTTAGAAAGAAAAGGTCTTTCATTTACARTCTTTCTCAGACACCATTTTATTCTCAGTCTTTGTCCGACTTTCATCTGTTTAGTGTCTCTTCTTTGACCTCTTTGTTACAGTGGTGTCAGTGATTGCTGTACTTCAGGCTTCTGTGACTGCAGCAATGTGTTATCAAAGGACATGGCAGATCAGATGCCATCTGGTTTTTCTTATTTTAACTGTTTTCTCCCTTTTGGTGTGGTTCTGARTTTGGATTCAGAAATTGTCATTTGCTAATTGGCAAATTAACAGTCAKCCAGATGAAATTCTAGTAGCTGCTGTTTTGTCACTTACCCTACATTTGCTACTGCTTTGTTTTCTCCTTCTGCTTTCCAGATTTGACTTGGATTWATTCTCACTTGAGATAGGGGCAAGTACTGTTCCTTGATAAACACCATTAAAAAAGATTTTCTGGAATGTGAGGATATCTTTACTCAGAGCTGGGACAACTGTCTCTTTTTGTTTGTCATTTTGTTCTGGGTGGCGTAGGAGTTGGCATTCTGGATGGGAGTAGTTTGATCTCTTGTATGTGATGCTGCCTTCAACCAGATGCTTTAAAAGAAAGTTGCAAACATTTGAGAAATAATTTTTTTCATGCCTGATTTTGAAGGAAGTACCAACATAGCTGATGATTCCAAGTTGGTTAACAGTTCTTTTAAACTCCATAGGCTTCTTAGTTCTTCTAATTTAAAATGCAATTTAGTGAATTTTTAGGAGTTCTAATAAAACTTGACTACCTGTTCTTTTTTGAGATCCCATCAAACTTTTGAACTTGGTGATATCTAGTGACAAAGAAATTTTCTTTCATCACTATTAAATACTTGTCCATTGAATTAATCAAGTGTCTTTTCTCTGGCAGAGGGCTGAGTGGGTTCTACAATTTACCTATCAGTGACTTTTTTATATTCTCTTGTTCTCTTCTTTATAACTCAGTAATGCAAGATGGCTCAGCCTCTCTTAAGGAGGTTTCCTCGAAAGCATTATTATCACCTTTCTTATAAACACAGCAAAAAGATCTTCTGAAATAGTTTTGGGGCTTTTTTCTCCTCTAAGTGGTATGTACAAGTCATGTAATGCAAACAGTTTTCAGATCAAATGGATTGCTTCCTTCCTCCCTTTTGAAAACTGTGTCAGTGTTTGCTTTAAATTGTTTGAAGACTTGCTGGTTCTGTCTGCAGAGGTTGTGGATTTTCTTGGGATTAT